GTATACAAGGGGTCTTCAAAAGCTTTCCACATTTTTATATTTTATAAATACGTTTTTTATATTTTTTTCGGATGGCATTAAAAAGCTGCTATGGCGCTGGGGAAAATGCATCGCAAGGGAAGGTGACTATGTAGAAAAGAGATGTAATTTGTTTTTGCAATTCTTGATAAATAGAGTTTTTTTTTAAAGTGTGGAAACTCTCTGAAGAACGCTCCTATTCCCCAGGGCCTTTCCAGGGCCCCTTCTCTCCCACTTTTAATACCAACCCAAACTGTAGTTACGAATTAGGTTTCTCTTGGTGCTAAAAACTGTGAAAGCTATGCCCCCAGCGGAAAGACAGAATACAAACATAATAAATAATTATGTTCTTTGGGGACTTACAGGGATCCTGCAAGGATCCCTCCTGCTGCCACTGCCAATATGCTGCCTGCCTTTCACTCGTGCCGCCTGCCAATGAGGGACCGGTTTGGGTTAGCCCTCAAAACAGCGACTAGCCGAAGAGGAGCTGGTGACTTCAGGTTGTCCCCACCTATAGGAGCTTGGGGTCAAGCATCGGGGCCAGAAGAGGAACAGACTAGTTTCCCACCAAGGACGGACTTGTTTCCCGGACCTGAAATAAATTTCTTTCTCAAGAGAGGACTGACCCCTGCTGGCCCACTCGGGCAAACGCAACGTCTCTAAAGATACCGGCTGGTTTTTTCCTAGAGATACTTACAGGTTTCCCCCCAAAAGTTATACCCTTATATACGGGTGTATAAGAGGACCCTTCAAACCGAAAACAACAAAGCAAAAATTGGGAGTCATCTCATATGCCCGACATATGATAAACACAAGAAAAGCAGCCCAAAATATCAACCTCCTCTTACACAAGAGTTGCCTCACAGGCCAGTAGATATGGTAGTAGGTTGCATAAAACATGCGCACCAGCAACTGCAGGAGCGAGAGCTGAAGCCGTCAGAACGCCCCTGAAAGCAACAACTCTCTCTGTTAAACAAAGAAACCCCTGTGCTTACAAAGCATTCTTGAGTTATTCAGAGAGAAACAGAAACCCATCCAGTCACTACGGAATGCAAACTACAGTACATGGTTGGAGGATTCCTTAAAGCAGGGCTGCCTGAGCTTCCGGCTCACGGGAGCAGCATTATTCTTTTACTGGAATCCTGAGATCGGTCAGCTGCAGCCAGATGTCCGATCCCTTAAAAAAACTAGAAAATGGGAGGGTGTAAAACCAACAGAGCTGGATGAAAAGAGGGTTCGATCTGGACGGACATGGTGACAGGAGAAGGTTGGATTGCTGGTCTTGAAAAACGCCACTGCCTGGATGTGTGAGTTCTTGGTGGCCAGATCTGTGTGTGTGTGTGTGTGTGTGTGTGTGTGTGTGTGTGTAGGGTTCCCTCCAGCCATGCCCAAGCCCTGCCTGAATCATTCTGTGCTTTTTGCCAGGTGAAGAACGGGACACTTTTCTTTGCCAGTGTCGATCGGGCCAGTGCCGGGGCATACACATGCCAGGCTACCAGTGAGGAAGGAAGTATCACCCACACGACCCGCCTGTTGGTCCAAGGTAAGGAAGGGACAGGGCAGCAACTATCCAGGTCAGGCTGAGCAGAGGGTCCACATCGGAACTGTTGCGACTATTGCCAGCTAGCTCGGCACCATCTCCTCCATGAGCGATTGCCAACAGATCCAGTAGCTAGACATGATAGGTCACACATTGCCCAGTCCTAGACTGCTCCGACTGGCTGCACCTCCAGGTCCCCAGCAGGAAGAGTCAAGAATGACTGGCTAGTTTTTCACCTGGAGATGCCTAGAACTGCCCTTGGGCCTTCCGGATGCAACACAGTCTGTTCCACCACTCAGCTACGCTCCATTGCCAAAGGGTTCTCTGCAATCCTGGAGTGACGCAGAACAGTCATGGGCGCAAACAATGGCGCCGGTCCCCAAAGGGAAACTGTGTGGCTTCCAAGACTGCCACCTGTGTTGGGACCCCATCGTTGGTGCGCCGCTTCCCAGCCCCCTCAGGCTGTGGATTTCCTCCCGTTCCTCCAGGACCACCGGTCATCGTGGTGCCTCCTCAGAACATCACGGTCAACGTCACCCAAGATGCCTTCTTGGCCTGCCAAGCTGAAGCCTACCCCGCCAACCTTACCTACAGCTGGTTCCAAGGGAGCACCAATGTTTTCCATGTCAGGTAGGTACTGTGGGACTGGAGCGGGGCAGATACTTGCTCAGTGGGCACTTGGCCGGTGGAGTGAGTAGCGTTCCCACATGCAAGAGGTGTCTGGGTGAGCACACACGGACAATGGCTGGATCTTCATCCTTACCATGGGTGGTCCAGGCCTCTTTCTTGGTCCTTGCTCTCCGTCACTCTGCTGACCAGATGCCATTTCGGAGACTCCTCAGTGGGTGCATTCCAGGGGTGGGAGGGGCCAAGGGCAACGGGGGGGGGCCAAAGGCCCAAGATACCGTAGCTCCACAGTCTCCCTGTCAGCAACAGAGCCTCCAGAGAAGTATTTCAAGCTTTTACACTGAGCCAAAAGGCTTGCCCAAAAGCCAGCAAAGTGCCCGATGACTGGGAATACCAGCCATGGCCCTCTGGTGGGCCAAGGGGCAGGATTGGGGCCCATGCGGCCCAGGTTTGTCAGCTAGAGGTTCTATAGCCATGTGGCCATCAGGAGGTCCTCTCTCCTGGGTACCTTCTTCCTCCTGGGTGGCATCAGTGGCTCCGTGACCTCCTTCTCCTGGATTGGTGCTATCATCCCAGCCCTGCTCTCCCCACACCTCCAGGCTGTATCAGCCTGTTTGTTCAGCAGATTGAGGGGAAAAGATGCCCAGGGGGAATATGAGCTTCTTAAGGCTTGGCTTAAGCTTCAGGTACTGAGATTCCTTCTACATGTCCGAGGTCCTGGAACGGGCTCAGAAGGGGTAGAAAAAGTGTGCCAATCAAGAAAGCTGAGCGCACTGCTTTGGTAGAACCTTGCCAAGCACCCAGGAAGTCTGGTTCGGGGAGCTCCAAAGAAGTGGCTGAAGGTTCGAGGGGGCAGGAGACAATGCCTTCCAGCCTGCAGTTGCTTCATGCTCTCTTTCTTCCCCACTCCTTCAGCCACCTGCAGTCCCGAATTCGTGTCTTGGTAGATGGAAGCCTTTTGGTCCAGAAAACGACCCCGGAAGATTCGGGACGGTATACCTGTGTTCCCAGCAACGGGCTGCGGAGATCCCCCTCTGCCTCGGCCTTCCTCACTGTTCTGTGTGAGTATTGCTGCTCTCCGCCAATGTCGACCCAGGCCGCAGCCGTCTGAGGGGGCAGAGAAGCTGGACTGGAAGCAGAGCAGCCTCTCCTGCAGGAACAGGGAAACTTCCTAATCCGGACTGCGGATGTTTCCCCACCCGGCCCACAAAGGCTTCTTCCTTGTGCCCTGCCCCATCCTCAAGCTGTTCACCTGAAGCCACTGGGGAGAGAAGTCCCCACTGTTGCTCTGACGGTGGTCGCCCACCTCCCATCTTCCCCCCCTGCGCAGGGAGGACGGGGCAACCGACCGCACTCCCTGGTCAAGATGTCTGCTTGAGGGTTGCTTCTCCAGACAACATCCTGGCTGAGGGCTCTTCTGGACCAGGAAAGCCGGTGTGGCGCTCCCATCCTGTGGCGTCAGGCAGTCCACAGAAAATCCCTCCTGTTTCCCACATGTTGCTTGGATCGTGGCACTGGCACCCGTCTGTCAGGGTCCTGCACGGGTCAAAGATTGGAGGAGTCACCCCAAGAAACAAGCCCCCGCTTTGCGGCTCCCTGTCACTCCTCCGGCTCCACCTGTGCACATGCGTGATGCCACCACCTTCCTGCCTCACCTGTCTGACGCCATGTCCCCCCACAGATCCGGCGCGAGCGGGCGACATGCCTCCGGAGACCCTCCTGCCGATAGGAATGCGAGGCACCATCAGGTGCCCCGCCAAAGCCAGCCCTCCACTGCTGTTCATCAACTGGACCAAAGATGGGCAGCCGTTAGAGTTAGACAAGGTAATCATGACCTCTGCAGCCACCCGACGGATTTTGCCCGTCAGATTGTCTGAGAACCCTCTTCTGATCAGAGCTCCTCCTTCCCGCAGTTCCCTGGTTGGTCCATGAGCCCGGACGGCACCCTTGTCATTGCCACGAGCAACGACGATGCCCTTGGTGTGTACGCTTGCATCCCGTACAACAGCTACGGTACTGCTGGCTCTTCGGCCCCCACTCAAGTCCTCTTGAAGGTGAGTGGTGGAGAAAGCAACATGAGTGAGCATGTGCGTAAGGTAAACCTGAACCTTCCGTTTTAAGAGGCAAAGGAGAGAGACTTCTTTCTCTTTCGGGGTATTCATTTACTTTCTGCTACTGTTCCATGGCAGCCTGTTGTTCGGCTCTCTGGTTCAGCCAGGGCACCTCGCTTTAGATCTGAGAATTCTTAGGAAAACACACAACCACCTGTGCCGAAGATGAGACACGGTCGCCTGCATGTCATGATGAAATATGAGTGCGGGATAGGTGCACACGGAGACAAGCTTGCAGTCCCACGCTCTGTGGCTGAACTGGTTCTCTTGATAGACCAGGGACCTGATTGATGGCCCTCCGTAGTTGCCTGGACAAGCGACGCATCGCCTGATCTCAGAACAAGAGACAACGCCTCTTCCTGTGGAGTCAATACATTTTCTCTCTCCCACTGTTGTGGAGTTTGTTGATAGGCTTCCAGGCTCTCATGCCCCCATCCTGGGAGCGAAGCTGCCTTGCTGAGCCCAACAGTTTCATTCCCACAGCAGAAGCAGCTCTTATCTACGAAATGACAGGGGAAGCCACTTCAAGGCAGTTTTCTCTGGTGTTCTTCCTAATAAGCTGAAGGCTTTACAGCCTTGCATCTGTGGTGTCCTGCACAAAGTCACTGGGCTCTCCGTTACTGCCACCTGCCATGAGCTCTTGAGGTGAGGTGGGCCAGTAATGCTGCAAGGCCCTCAAGACTCCTCCCCTTGCCTCTCTGTCTCCCCACTGGCCCATTTCAGATGCTGGCGAAGACCCCTCACACGGCTCGTATCGCGTTTCTGTCCTAGGACCCACCTGTGTTCACCCTGCGACCGAAGGAGGAGTACTTCCAAGAGGTGGGGCGAGAGCTGCTCATTCCGTGCGCTGCCCGAGGTGACCCCACGCCTGTCCTCTCATGGACCAAGGTAAGGCAAAGGCACTGCTGAAGATCAATCGCATCCTGATCCCACCTTCCAGAAACATTGCTAGCCTTGGGAAGGAAGGGGTGTTTTTCTGCCGTGGCCACGTCTGGTACTTCCTTGCAGCTTCAAAATATCATGCAGTCTTCCTGATTTCAGCAGCTGGCAGCTCTGATCTAGTTTCTGGGGGGCTGGTGCTCTGGGGACTCTCACACCGCTCACTCTTCTCTGCCCCCACAGCTGGGCAGCAAGACCCTGGCAAATGCCCAGGCAGACAGCAACGGCAGCCTGGTCTTGCGCCCGCTGACCAAGGAGCAGCACGGCTTGTGGGAATGCGTCGCCAACAACGGCGTGGCCCAGGTCAGCGCCGTGACCACCGTCTACGTGCTGGGTGAGTGTTCCATGGGAAGGGCCATCACGGAACAGGCGGAAGGGGGGAACGAGACGTGCGCCCTCTTGGGGGCCTCTGCAAAGCCGGAAAAGCATGTCGCTAGTAGCGGGTGGCTTGTCGTTCAGGCGGGCCCTCGGTGGATGGAGCAGCGTCTCCAGTGGCTGTTCTCCAGGGCAGGAAGACAGAGCCTCCACGAAGCACGTTTCAGCTCTTGGCGGGCAGCGAGCGCCGGTTCCCGGCTTGAGGCAAGCCGCAGGAGGGCCGGCAGTCTCACCACCTCACTGTCCGGCCCAGGTCACTGCCCTGCTTGAGCCACTCCCCTCTTCTCTCCTTCCCCCCGGTAGGCACCAGCCCCCACACCGTGGCCAACGTCTCTGTGCTGCCCCTGCAGCAGGCAGTCAACATCACCTGGGAGCCAGGCTTTGACGGCGGCTATTTCCAGCGGTTCAGCATCTGGTACACGCCGCTGTGAGTCCTTCCTTGTTTGCTGGGATGCTTCTCTTTAAACGGCGGGACTTTTTCTGCCTGAATTCAGTTTCTCAGACGCTCTCGAGGCTGCCCTGCAGTGGTGGCTGTGCCCAGAAGCAAAGGCGGGGGCGCAAGTACCCAAAATAGCAGTTACTGCAGTTTTAAGCTCCCTCCTCCTCTCACTACGACACAGAAGGAGTTCCGCTTTTCAAATGGGGGGTGCACAAAGATCAGGGGGCAAAGGGGTGGGGCCAGGGAAGGGGGCGTGGTCATGGTCTCCCAAGCCGGGTTGGCTCCGCAGGCCTCGGTTTCCCCACCGCTGCTCTGCTCCTCATGTCTGTGCCTTCCGCAGGCTGAAGCGCTTCAACCGCCCTCACCACGACTGGGTGTCTCTGCCAGTGCCCGCCGGTGCCTCCCACATCCTGGTGGAGAACCTGCAGCCAGACACGGGTTACCAGTTCAGCGTTCTGGCCCAGAACAAGCTGGGCAGCGGTCCCTTCAGTGAGATTGTCACCACCGTGCCACTGGGTGAGAAGGGGCTCCTGCGGTGTGCTGGTTGTTGTGACGCGCCACTGTTTGTGTATTAGGAAATGATGTCCGAAATCACGCGAGTGGGTTTTACCCTAAAACAGGGGTGACTGGCCTTTTCCAGCCTGAAGTCCCAATTCCATTTATTTATTATCATTTATTTATCAGTTATATGTACCCCACGGCTTTTCCTTTCAAGGAACTTATGTCATTCTCCTCCTCCTCTCAATCTTATCCTTACAACAACCCTGTGAGGTGATTGGGCAGAGAGTCTGGGACTGGCCCAAAGTCACCCAGTTGGCTCCATGACTGAGTGGGGACTTGAACCCAGGTCCCCCGAGTCCCAGTGCTGTAACCATTACACCGCACCGCTTCTCAGAGAGACTTTCAAGGGCCATTCCAAACACAGTCGTACTTATCCGCAAACAGGAGCATCATGTCTGCTTGCAAGTCAACTTCTGCGATGCACGGTTCAGAAGGACACAGCACTCCGTCACTCTAGAACTTCCTTCCCTGGCTCTGCCCCCTTAGCTGCACAGACAAAAACTCTTCCCTCTACCCAACAACTTCTTGGAAAGAAGGGTTTTCCTTCTAAGCACTGAGAAAGGGGCCCGCTAAGAACAGCAGAGCAATAGAACTTCCCTCTGCCAGTTGGGGCCTTTGCAGACTTTCCTGGTTTGATTTCTGAGGTGTCGTTTTGCATCCTCGTCACTTCCAATTTGGAAGGCAGGAAACCAAAGCAGAGACACGTATGTGCCTGACAGAGGGAGGCCTGAATGGTTTTCCACTTGATTCTGGTCTTCCGGCCTGAAATTCCCAATCACCGGCTTGCAAATGCTGAGTTGGGAACATTGGGAACTTGAAATGGGCTGCTGCCAAAAGATGGGTGTTCATTCATCCACCTGCCCTCTCTCCTTCTCAGGTTTCCCAACAAGCACCGTGCCATCAGATCCCCCGACTACCCAATTCCAGATCTTCCTTTCCCCACCTCAGTCCCTGACGGCCAACGAGACCACGCGAGGGGTTTTGCTGCTGTGGGAACCCCCGTACCAGTTCTCCGTGGCCCTGACCGGCTACGCCCTGGAGCTGCGGCAAGACCAGGGCGCCTGGGAGGTGCTGGAGAGAGCCATTCCCAGCTCGGAGACGCAGTTCCTGGTGCCTGGACTCATCAAGGTGGGTTTAGAAGGATCTGGTTCCAGAACTGACCCCCTCTGGAGCTGTGCACGTAGCGAGTGGCAAACAAGGGTACAGAAGGCCAAAAAGCAAGCCACTGTTCTGACAACTCACCTTCCGGGAACCTCGGTGTTTGGATTTTAAAACAAGCCAGCTATGGAGCAATACACAAATGTCCCGAAAATAACCAATGTCTTAATAGGAAACGTGCACAATCTTAGTGACACGCACGGCCGTCTCAAGGGTTTGAAAATCCAGGGTTTTAAATCACCCCGTGGCACCAACTGCTCACAGCGTCTTCTTCCCCCGACAGGACGCCTTCTACGAGTTCCGTCTGGTGGCCTTTGCTGGCAACTACATCAGCGACCCCAGCAATGCAGTCAATGTTTCCACAACAGGTAAGGCCTTGGGATCTGGGCTGGGGTTGTGCCAGGGACTGGCTTAATCCAAGGAGGCTGCTGGAGTCCTTGCAACTTACGCCGAGCCATTCCCGGGCTCAGTGTTGCTGCAGAATGACACCCCTTATTCTTTCTCCAGCACTAGAAAATGGGCTTTGGATTTTCTCGGGCTTTTGCACTCATTTTTGGGGCTACTGCGGATATCTAGGTGCACTGAATCCTTTTGTTTTAAATTGCTTTTGCAGTTGCACAGTTGCTGCTCTTTTCAGCTTTTAAAGCCATTTGTGATTCTTTTAAAATGGTGCGTTCTGTTTCGATTTTGTTTTCGTTTGAATTCTTGCCATATGGGAAACTTCTGCCCTAGGCCAGTCTACAAATTGGATTAAGAAATACATACGAAGAATAACAACTGACAATATCAAGGGCTACTGCAAAAAGGCATCAATGAAAAGCAGGAATGCAAAAGGAAAGGGATGTGCATGTTTTTTCCAGTGATCTGTTTTGAGCACTTTTTGTTGGATTGATGTTGGAACGGCTGAGAAATAGCGGGCTCTGCAAGAGGTCCGCTCTCGGAAGGTCCCTTCACTTGATTTGGGGGACTGCGCACACACAAATGTGTTTATGCTCCGCAACTCATCCCCATGTAGCAGGATCTCCTGACACCCTTACCAGGGAGTAAGTCCCGCTGCACTCCAGAGGGCTTGCTTCCAAGTAGACTTTAAAAGGGGAAGACACTTTTTCACAGGGGCGTACTGGTCTTGACAGGGAACCTCCATGCCCAGTGGCAGTCTGCTCCCGATTGCAAAGTCCAGGGGAAGACTGTGTTGCCTGCCTGCCCTTGTGTTTTTGGCGGCCCCCTGGGAGCATCTCCCTGGCCATGGTGGTGCGAGAGGCGTGACGCAGCAGGGCCTCCTTTCTTGTCTTCGCACCCATTATAAATGGCTGCGATGTAGTGCCTTCCAACTCCTCCTCCTCTCCCTCCCAGGCATGGAGGTGTATCCGTCCCGTACCCAGCTCCCGGAGCTCTTGCCCCAGCCCGTGCTGGCCGGCGTGATCGGAGGCGTCTGTTTCCTCAGCACAGCTGTCATCTTCAGCACCGTGGCGGCCTGCATCATGAACCGCAGGCGAGCTGCCCGTCTCCGGAAACGCAGGCAAGGTGAGGAGGGGACGGTGACGGTCACTCTGGCGCAAAGGGCACAGACGGAGGGGTGTCCATGAGGCAGCGCTTTCCGAGCACGGCTGGGGAAGGCGGGTGGGTGGAAGGCATGATCCAAGAGGGTCACACGTGGAAGGGAGTCTGGAGGCTCCTTGCACCCTTTCTTGGTCCTGCCCCTCAAAAACAAGCCTGCGGGAGAAAGGGACACTGTTCAATTGCAGAGCATATGTCCATGTTCCAGGAGGAAACTGGGCACTTTCTGCTCCCGGCTTTACTTTTCCTCTGGAGGGAGGTGCTCCAGGGACAGAAGGACCAGAGCATTTGGCAGCAGCTGCAAAATCTGCTTCCTGGGGCAGAGTCCGCGCTTTCATCCATGGAGCCCTGCCCATGTTTTGTTCCCGGCTTCGGCCGTCCTGCTCACGGGTGAAATGGCTCCTTCTCATTAATGGCCCCGCAGTCCTGGGCCCTCTTTCCAGTTATTACTTGAACATGACCCCTTCGATACTGGACTTCAACACTGATCGTTTTGGAGCTGCTGCTCCTTAACAGCCCGAGAGAGAGGAGTGTGAAAGAGCTTTCTCTTGAAAGAATTGGTTGACGCTTAAAGGAAGTACGTAGAGGCAAGGAAACAGATGGGACGAGATCCCAGACTGAATCAGCTCTAGCTGTGCTCCAGCTCCTGTAGGCTCACCCAGCCAGTTTGCTTCTTCCCGTTCTCATTTAGTTTCCCTTTCTAGCTTCAAGGGTCTTATTTGTCCACTTGCTCACTGAAATGTATTTACGCCGTCCGTTTCTCCACATATGGGGCCATCTGAGCAGCTGGCAGTCTTACGGTAAACATGATAAAGAGAAAAACTGCAGATTGCAAAGCATGGCAACCAATAATTCTAGAAGGGACTGAATTCCGTGCACGATGCGACTGACGACAGATCACGCATGGGTCTGCCCTCTGCTGTGAACCTGGGCAGCGAAGCGGGAGGGGCTGGGGAGCCAGGCAGAGGGCGCGACTGGGGCACGTGTGTGCGTGTGCGTCTGTCTGTGGGCCGCGGCGTGGCAGCCGCCCGTCCCCTTCCATCACTGCTTGCCTTTTAAGTTGCTCTCCATGTGATTTCCCCTTTGTGTTCTCATGACCTTCCAGATCCACCAATCGTCTTCTCCCCCAACAAGAAGCTTCTGCCTTCACAGTAAGTCGCACCATCGCACGATGCCACTTCCTCCTCCCGCTCATGCCAGGTCTGCCCCTCCCTCCTGTGGCTTTCTCCCCCCACCACCCCCATTTGTGCGGGCTGCGGCGTGGGAGTCGGGGCAGGGAAGGGGACGCATCGAACGCGGCTGGGGTGGGGGCACTTCGCCACCGCGCTGCTGCTCGACGTGGCCGGTGCAAGACAGCCACACAGCGGGCGAGCGGAACTGGCAGGCGGAAGGACACTCGCTTGGATGCTCCGCAGCTGCTGGCTTTCCGAGGTTGCCCGTCAACCTCGAGCTTCGCAGCCATTGAGGGCCTTTTCCGCCGTGTGCTTATCGGATGCCCTGCTGCCACATCGCCACATTCCGCGGAAACAAACGCCTTTGCTTCTGAGAGGCATGGCGACGCAATCCCTCTCCTGCGTTCTGAATCTCCTTTCGTGCTGTTTGACCGGATGACCTCAGTTCTTGCGTAACGAGTTTGCAGGAAGGACTTTATCTCTTACCACTTGCTCATCCCCATGCGTCATTTTATCGCCATGCGTCATTTTATGCAATTATGAGATAGATGGACCCCACCAAGGAAGCCACAGGCTTGAATTGGCAAGAGCAGAGCGGTGCCCTCACGGATCGGCCGTTGTGGAGGGCTTCCGTTTCTAGGGTCCCCAAAAGTTGGAGATGACTTGATGGCACATAACAATATATCTGGGGCCTCCAACATGGTGCCCAGTGGGCTTCTTTCCCCTTCCTTGTTTTTCATCCCATTTCTTAATTTTTATTTTATTTTCAGCAGGGATGCTGGCACGTCATCATCATGAGGTTCAAAAAATGAGGGGGGAAGATTGCCCCAATTTTGCCTTAGGTTCTTGGTCAAGTTTCTTTTCCTTTAGCCTTGCCACATTGCCTTCTGGGAAATCGGTGCTTAGTGACCTGCCAGGGTGACCATTTTATGACTGCTTGAGGGTGGGGGGCTCTTGCTGCCCCCTGGATGTGGTGTGTTTGAAAAAAAAAATTCAAAACAGATACGCAGGAATCTGAAAACTGCATCGTATACCACTTTGCCTTACTACAGACATCTCCAGTAGTTGGGTCAAGGAAATCCCACAATGAGCTATTGCCAAAGGTTTCTTGGGGACCCTCTCAACATCAGTCCAATTCCCATCATCCCCAATTTGGGTTCATGGCAGACAGCTGCCTCTGGGTCAGGACTCTGGAAAGGTTTTGCAGTCTTTTCTTGCCTCTGGCTACCACTGCTTTAAGGCACACGTTCACTAAGCCAAGGCAAGCGAAAACACGTCCTTCCCATAGAAAGGTAGCTCTGGGCTCAGCTTCTCCCTTAGCATGTGGCTTTCTCTCTGAAAAGACGCTTCTGGGACCGGGCGAGTTTTAAAATGTGGAAGTTTCCCCTCTTCTGCCGGCCATTGAACGGTTGTGTCTGCGTGGGGTTGTTTTAATGCAAGGTTTTTTTTCGGCAGCTTAGCTCTTACTTGTAGCACTCTGCAGAACCGGGCCTCTGGAGGCTGGGGGGCCGTGCTTTGGGGCAGGGGGTCGGGCTGGGTGGCCTTCAGAGGAGGGCTCCTTTCAGCCGATTTGGAGAGGTACACATGTGGGCTCTTTCCTTCCATCGCAGAAATTCTACAGGCTCTGCTAGCCCAGACAGTGTTGTGAAGCCGGCGTTCCAGACCTCGCCATGCCAGAGCCTGCGCCGGACCCTGCTCTGGGGGGAGAAGGCCAGCGCCTCCCGGCTGAGCTTCACTGTTGCCGGTGGCCGTGCCGGGACGGGCTCCAAGTACATGCTCTACGAGAGCCACGCCGGGGAGCCGCTGCCGCTGGAGCACATCCGCCGCGGGCCCGATGGCCGCTTTGTGGTGCAGCGCGAGGAGCGGCCCCGGGAGCGCCTGGCAGCCCTGGCGGAGCGACTCTCCCTGTCGCTCGCCTCTTCGGAGAGCAGCGTGTGCCGGCCGGAGCCTTACCTGCAGGTCGGCTCTCCAGCTGGGCCCGAGGAGCCCGTCTGGCAGAGGAGCATCCCCCTGAGGCCGAGGCACTCTGGCCAGGCCCGCCGCGAAGCCAAGGCCTCCGGCTACTGCCAGGGCCGCTACTTTGACTACAGCAGCAGCAGCCCAACGGAGGAAGCCATGCCCCTGTGCATTGCCAACATCAGCCCGGTCGCCACCGTGCCCTATGGTGCCACCACCGAACAGGCCCAGACTTCCCAGGGCTCGGAGGGGCATCTGCGGAGGGTGGCTGCCGCTGCCTCTTCCTCGCCAGTAAGCTGGCTGGGGGGCCCGTCCTTGCCGGCATCCGGCGGACCTCCGGACGGCCACATCAGCACCAGCGCCTCAGTCCAGAGCGGGATCCTGCAGTATCTGAGCCTGCCCTTCTTCAAGGAGATGAATGTGGATGGCGACTGGCCCCCAGAGGAGGACGAGGGAGGCGGGAAGCCACCCTCCAAGCCGGCCCTCCCGGAGGCTCCCGGCAGCCCTGAACTCACCCTACGGGGAGACGAGGACAAGACCTTGGCCTGCCCGGCCTACATGGATGTGGAAGCGACTCCGGACATGGCCCAGGAAAAGGCCTTGACCAAAGCTCTGCTCAGGCCCCCCGACGCCAACACCGGCCCAGTCAAGGCCGCCCTGCCCGGCTCCTCGCTCTGCCCCAGTCGCCTCGGCTCCAGTGCGGACGCCCCACAGCCCATGGAGCATGACCCCTGGCTGCGGACGCTCTCACCTGCCCAGCCCCTTGTGGCCAGTGGCCAGGCGGAACCAGGATGCACTGCTGTCCCCCCGGAACGCGACTGGCTCCGTGTGGCAGAGCCGCCCCCTGAGAGGCACAAGCTGCCCCCGGCCCTTCTCGCACAAGGCCTCCCTGCCGAGAAGCTGCTGCGGGGCAGCCTGACCAGCCAAAGCAGTGGCCGGGGCAGCGTGTCCTTCCTACGGCCCCCCTCACTGGCTCCGTCCTTGGCGGGCAGCTGCCTCAGTTCCCCCTTTGGAGAAGTGACCGGCTGGCAAGGCAGCTGCGCAGGAGACGAGGGCAAGCCGAAACGGGAGCCTTCGCTTGTCCCCATCAGTAAAAGGTAAGGCGCCCGGCCCAGGCAGTGGCAGGTGGGAAACCAGGCCCAGGTGCAACAGAAGGGAGTTTGGACGGAATGCCCCATCTAGCAGACCCACAGAGAACCGGGCTTTCATACAGGAGCCTTTTTGGCCCAAGAGTTGGTAGGGGCTGCAGGCGGGAGGCTAGCCATGGGTGGTGCCACAGTTCAAAGCGCGCCAGGCTGACCGGTGCCGGCATGAGCATCCAACATGAGTCCCTGAATCCCACGTGCGCATTTACAGGCACATGCCCAAAATTTGTCTTGTTTAAGTCATGATACATCAGCTGCTTTGGGTGCCTTTTGGGAGACTAAAAAAGCTATGGATAAAAGGAATGTGCATGCACACCCCCCTTCACACAGACACACACACCAGACACACACATACACGCAGATGGATGTGCAAAATAGGCCTGGCTCACCCCTCACTGTTCCCCTTTCCAAACCAAGCCTGTCTCCCTGCCTCATAGAAACACAGAAACAGTGCAACTCAGAAGGCGCCTCCCGGGCCATCTAGTCTGACCCCCGGCTCCAGCCGGCTCTGCTCATGACATGCCCGCCATGTGCATGTCCAGCCTATCCTTGAACACCCTCACCGATGGGGCCTCAACTACCTCCATCTGGAGGCCTGCAGGGGATTGAGAAGGAAACCAAGCCAAGGGTTCCCAATCCATGATTTCTCAGTTTCCCAGAGAAACCGTGGCTTGCTTAGGAGTTTCCTTGCTTCACTGTGGCTTGCACAAAGGGCAGGGCGATGGAGCTCTGCGTTCAGGGGGAAAGGTTCGTTCTGCTCTTCAAACTGGCCCACCGGTTCAAGCGTTGAACAGAATCTGCAGAGCTCTAAAAGTCATCCTCCCCTCTGTCCCAGTCATGCACTGAGCGGGACTCCCATGTCTTTGTAGGCTTCTCCCAAGTTTCCTAGAAGGTCGTCTCCGGTGCGCTAGCATGCCTTTTTGCCGTTGGAGCGACAGGCCACTCCTGCCAAGAGACCTCTTGGGGTCTCGATTTTGCAATCCCAAGTCAACCTTGAAAAAATCTACGCAGAAGCATGACCAGACCTGAGCAAAACCCAGGCAGGAAGTGGGATTTCACTGCAGCAGGGCCAGTTTTCAGCCGCTCCGCAGCAGCCAAGCAGAAAAGGAGGAGCTGGCTCTGCCGAGCCGAACATGCATCTGCCCACAAGGTGGGGCGTTCCATGCAAACCATCTTCTGCCTTGCAGGATGGGCTGTCGCTTCCAGCCGAGGCTTCAGCGTCTTTTCTCGCAAGGTCCAAAGTCGCCACCAGGTGGTGGTGTTTATCATTTTAATTTTCAGGCACTGCATGAACTTCGGCCCAAGAGTTTGCAGATGGAGGAGGGCGTGGAAACGGCCTGTGCGCCCTTGCAGGATAGAATGGCGGGGGCCGTCACTTAGCCGCTGAGCCCCTCCTGTGTAGGCAGAAGGTTCTGGGTTCAATGCCGGACAGCTCCAAGCAAAGCAGGGGTGTCAAACATCAGTTTACAGGCCGAAACCAGTCTTTTTCCACTGCAACTGATTGGTAGTCTCCCAGCTTCCACCCAGTTCTAATAGATACAGATGCCTCTCTTTAATGTCATTTGGATCAAAGACATGGGGAATGTGCCCCCCCACCCAGTTTTCACCCCCTGGCTTCACCCCACTTGCTTGGCTCTAGGAGGAACACGTCTGTGGATGAGAACTACGAATGGGACACGGAGTTTGCCCTGGAATCAGACCTGCTGGATGCTCTGCAGCTGTTTCGGAGCGGGAACCCCAAAAGACCAGTCTCTACCATCGCGGCACATGAGTTGGAGAAGCAGAGTGAGTGTGCGAGGGCTACAGGACAGGGGAGGATTTGGGGGGTTCTGATACTTCATGCGGCAGGGCTGCCTCTGTCTGAGAAGCCTGCTGGTTGACAGAACCAAGAGTTCATTCTGCCCAAGCACAGGGCATGAGCAGGATTTACCTTCACATCCTAAAAATCGTACCAGCATTTAAATTAAGTTCCTAGTCCTTTCAGACTGCACAAATAATGTATTCTAAACTGTTTAAAAAAAAAAACCCTATTCCAGCCAGTTTATATGATAGAATTAAGCAAATTCTTGCAAGGAAGTTGTTCTCACCTATTAGCTGGGACAGACCGCCCATGTTCAGAGGCACCCTGTCTCTGAATACACAGTCCTGACTGGCTGTTGCCTTCACACTGTGCTTCTTACCTTCCACAGAAGCATGTGGCTCGGCCACTCCTAGGAGCCCAAAGTATTCTGGTTCCCTCCACTCCATCTCTGCATGATAAAGTGCTCAGAGCCATCTCTGACACTGTGAAAAGTGCGATATAAAAGCTATCAATCAATCAATCTCTCCTGCCTGCCTTTCACCTGAAGGGGGCGGGTCCCTCTCATCTCCACTGGGTCTCATTGGAGCAGCTGCTCACACCCTGCATAAGTCCCCACCCTGAATTCAGGCCTTCCAATCAGATCAGGCCCACCTAGACCCGTGCTTTGGGATAGGTTTATGTTGCTTCGCATTCCCCTCTGCCACGTGCTTCAGGAAAAGCCAGGCCATCCTGTATCCCATGCCCCACCTGGAGACTGACCCAGCCCTTCGTGGATGCCCTGACGGCCACATCCTTCCCCCTCAACCAATTGTTCGGTGGTTTCTCCCCGCACCAGGTTGAAACGCCTCCCCCAAGGCCTCCTTACCGGCTGGGTGAGATCCAGGCTAGAGCAGGCAGTGTTTTGGGACCTTCCCTTTCTGCCTTCGGCCCTGCCCAGCACTGGAACGCAACCCCCCAGAGCCTGTCCGGGCTGGAATTCCGCCCAAGGGCTGACAGACGTTCCGCCTCCCTGCCTTAGCCATTTCCTCCCCACCTGCAGGTTCGAAGGCCTCCAGTGAGAGCAGCGGCTCGCCCTCGAATTCCCAGTCGGTGGGCGCCCTGGATGGGTCCAGCTCCCCGGTACCCTTGCCCAGCCCCGAGGAGCGCTGTGCGGCGCTGCGCGAAGAGTTCCTGGCTTACCGCCGGCGCCGAGAGGCCATCCAGCAGCGGCGGCGGAAGCTGGGCTCCGGCGAGAAGCAGAGGGACGAGCGCTTCGAGCAGGCCACCTTGCTGTGAGAGCGGCCCCCGCAGCCCAGCCTGGCCACGGTTTCCCCCCACCACAGGGAAATCCTGCCTTCACGCGTGCAAATGGGGGATCCGGGCCCCGCGGGGTGAGTGGCGCCCCCTTGCGTCCACCTGACAAACGGCATCTTGCCCCATGCAGCCGGCAGCTCCAAAGACGGCGGTGGGGGAAGCACTGGCAAAGCTTTCCAGGGGCACAGGGGGCAGAGTGAGGAGAAAACACGTTGGAACTACTGGTTTATTTCAAGCCTGATATTGGACTCAGGGTGGGTGGGGTGTTTGGGGTGCTGTTTTTGTAAAACGGGGCTTTGGGAGAAAAAAAGAAAGTACTCTGCGTTTGGTGTCTTGTGTATTGGAGGAACCGGCATGGGATGAAAGGAGAGAAACAGGGTCAGCTAGGGGTCACTTTTCCAACAGAAATGGTTGACTCTGCACAATCAGGGGCTCTGAGCCCTTTCCGGAAAGGGTAGAGCAGCTTTCCCTAATGAGACGCTCTCCAGGTGCGTTGGGTTACAACTCCCATCATCCCTATGCATCTGATGGGCACCCTGTTGGGGAAAGCTGCACTTAATTGGCTTCATTTCTGTCTCTCCATCCACTCTTTGATCCATTTGGTCTACTTCAGTCTATCCAATCAATCCAGCAGGGTTTTCATGCTCCTTTCAACCTCACGTTCAGTGCTGGGTCTGAGCCAGAGAAAAAACTCCTCTTGACCACTTCCGTCTCCTTTCGCCACACTCGTTCCTAGAGCGTCCCGTGTCCTAGTCATGGACTCCGCCCTAAGCTTGCCAGGTCTCACTGCAAGTGGCAGGTCCAGCTCTGGGTGAGGAACCTTAAGCGGCAAGTAAACCAATTGGAAGAGGCCCGGAGGGAAAAAACGGGGAGTGGGAAACAAGCCCTATGAGGGAAGGTTGGAAGAACTAGGTATTGCCACCTGGAGAAGAGACGGCTGGGGGACAAGAGGCAGGAAAACAGCCTTCAAAACTCCAAAAGGCTGTTGGGAAGAGGATAAAGATTTGCTCCCAGCTGCTGCTTTGGTAGGACTAGATCTTGGCTACGGGAGGGCAGCTTTTGGTTGGGCAGTAGGAGAAAAGGTTGGGAACAGTAGAGGGTTCAAATTTCCTTCCTGTAGGGTGGGCTCAGGCAGAAGATGGGCAGCCAGCTGGGGGAAGACTCTCGCTGGGGATTTCGGACCGCAATCAGTAGGTTGGCCCACAGGGTCAGCAATTCCCCCATCCAGTGGCCGATTTGATATTTTAAAAAAAACTTGTTTCATGGAGTGTCGAAACTGTTGGCATGCAGGAGCAATTCCATTTCAGAGAGGCTCCTGGGGCTCTGCTTTCCAAGACAAGGCCACAAATTGCACCAAGGTTTAGCTGAAATACTTTGCCGCCAAGAACGGAGTCTTGAGGGAGACACTTCAACCTTTCAGAACTGGGGAAGTGGACAAAAAAAATACACAAAGGCTGGGAAGGCAATGATTGGTGCTCGGGGAAAGAGGGCAGGGCCAGGGAAAGAGGTGTAGCCTGGAAAATCGGGGGCCGGCTTGGCCCCTGGCTCCGAGGTTGTGAACCCCTGCTTTGCAAGCCCGGACATTTGCACCGTGAAAGGTCCGTTGTGTTCTTCAGACCTTTGGAAATATATCAGTCGAGTCCTCATGCATTCCACGCCACCACTCAAGATGGAGTCGGGTGCTGAATTCGGCTCGCGGAGACCTTCAGCCTTCCTCTGCCTTTTTAAATCAAACCTCCAGCTCTTACAGTGCCAAAGCCCTGCTTGAAAGCATGTGGGCATTGCTAGCTTGTATCTCAAAAGCAAAAGGCCCGGAGGGTTGGAGGTGTACAGAAGGCTGGGCGGTTCATGTCCTGCCTTGCTCTTTGCTTCTCCATGTGAAAAAACTGTTCGAAATCAGAGAAATAACACGTCCTTGACTGGAGTTCGACAACGTAACTTTTCTGGATGCAAAGCTGTTTCCTTCTGTTTAGTTTTTGCTGCACACTGTTTATTTTTTAGGGTTTTGTTTATTATTTTCTGTTGAGCTGTGTGTATCTTTCTTTGTGTCAAGTGTTTGACTCAGGTTTCCACTCACATGACTCTTTACGTGCAATGTAAAACAGGCAGCAAAGAGGAGGAGGAGGGAAAAGGGACTGCGGCAAAACGACAAGCGTATAGGCCACAGCACAAGGCCTCACCTGTGGAAGCAATAATGAACGAGAGAAGTTAAGAGGGCAAAAGCAAATGGGAACCTAGATTTCCTAAATTCGCTACAGAGTGGGAAGTCACAGCTGCCGGCAAGGAGCACCCCACAGAAGTTCTCCGTGGCACAGATGCCACAGGGTTAGGTGGGGAAGCCCTACCCTGCACAGCCACGAGTCTGCCGTGAAGAATTTCCACAGCTGGGCAGCGTCCAACGGTCCACATCCTAGCAGGGGGCCCACAGCCAGCCAGTGCGACCTGCTTATTCATTGCCTGAGCAGGCCTAGAACCCCGATTTCCCGAGTCCCGGTCCAAACTTGGCTCTGGGGCGGCATGGAAGGAGCATCACAGACTTGGCTGGGCAATGGAGCGTATGATTATGCACCCCCCTGCCCAATGCGCCTCCAAGATAATGGGGGGCTCGTGCCACCGGCAATCCAATGGGAGATTCCGTTCTGAGTGTGAGAAAAATTCGTTTTATTATGTCACCAGGAATATGCATAGTTTCACGTTGACATCTCCAAGGGAATGCAGTGACGGGTGGAAATATCTCCAAATCGAGTCAGCAGTAGTAGGGTTTTTTTTCCTTTTCTTTTTTCTTTTTGTTTAAAAAAAAAAAAGACCTTGCTTGACACTCGAAAAGCACTTAGGGGCAGGACTGACCACAGACTGTTCCACCCAGCCCCATTCCCATTTGCTAGAGAGAGCTCTGGGCCCTCCCCAGAGGTAATCCTGTCTCCGGGCGCAGCGCTCAGCCTCTTTTTCCAAGCCAGCTTCCTTGCAGCAAATTCAGGGTTAAAGGGGAGGCGATGACCCTGTGCTGGGATGGGAAGAAGAAAAACTCTGCAAGTTTCCTCTTTTTCCAAATTTGGCCTTTCTCTAGCAAGTCACATGGTCCCAAGGGGATGAGGAGGGGTGAGGGGGAGAAGTCGCCTGCTGAAACAGGGAAGGGCAGAAGCTCTGTATTCATGAAGGATCAGGAAGAAAATGGCTTATTCTGGTGGACCGATGGCAGATTCTCTCAAGCCCTGCGTGACTCACGCCGGAGCACTGTGGGCCGAGGAAAAGACTTTGTGGATTCCTCCTTCCGTCCTGTCCTCAGTCTTTCCAGTTCTCTGGCACTGTGACTTCTGAAGTGTCTTGGAAGGCTGGGTTGGGGAAGCCTGGAAAAAGAGTTGGTTAGATCTGCATTCTTTAGTGTACGGAGACAGGAGAGTAATTCTGGGGTGTCTGGGCAAAGCGTAGGTTCGCCACCACAGGAGGTGGAGCAAATCGCACACCAAACTACTTGGAAACTGTTGGGGTGGGTGCCTCAGTGTGGGATCGCCTTCTAAAACATAAGCAGGGTGCCCGGTCTGGATTGCGACGGTGCCACAAAGGAGTTTAGATGCGCGCAGACAGAGTGTTGCGTTCTGGACTGAAATAATGCCAGGAAAGCTGTGTCCACTCAGAGTATAGGTGCCTCTGCAGTTTGTTCCCACAGGGGTCCAAGTGCCTCAAAGAGAAGCAGGACACAAGCACAAAAGCCCCGCAGCCCGAAAATCTTCTGTTTTGGCATAGACATCCCTGTAGGGTCAATAGCAGCTTTACCCTACCGATTCCCCCATCCCTGCAAATTCGCCCCCAGCACAGGAGCTGCTGTCCAAGGTTATTAAAACTGCTGAAGACTTTCGTCATGCCATCGCCCATGTTTTGCCTACCTCGGTCCTCGCGAGAAGAATTTATAAAATGAGAAAAGGGTGCCTGGAACTCAAGAGAGAGTGCGATTAGCTAGTGCGGGACTCGGGCGATGTGGGTTTGAATCCCCACTCAGCCATGGAGCCAACTGGGGGGCTTTGGGCCAGTCACCGACTCTCAGTCCAGCCTACTTCACAGGGTTGTTGTTGGGGGGATAAGATTGAGAGCAGCAGGAGGAGAACAATGTAAGAAAGAAAAAGGAGGGATACAAATCTAATAAGTAAAAATAATTTTCCATGAAATAAATAGCTGAATCTCTCTGCAACCCACATGGCAAATTAGGGGAGCCTTAGCTCTCCCAGACAGTGAATATGGCCCCCGTTGCCTCGCCCCCCCCCAAGGAATGTCCCAAGATGCCAGCAGGGGTGTTGATCCTTACCAAGGAGCCAGTCCTAGCCATTTCATCTCAACCAGAAGCAAACAGATCTTACTTGCTCTTTCAAGACCCATCAAGCAGGTTGGTGGGGAACTTCATTCCCCTCCAGCTACCCTGAGAGGGCAGCTAAGTCACAAGGATGTCTAAGCGCAGTGACAAACCGCAGTACCATCCCAGCTCCGACAGAAATGCAGGGGTTTCCCCCCACCCCGTGAGCCCCCGTTCCTCTACAGCACTGCTTCCAAATGATCTTTAACCAAGGAAAGGAGATCGCTCTGCGCATGCCGCGGGGCGGATTCAGGATGCAAGGCAAGGGTGTGACAGAGAGATCTCACCCTTTGAGGTTTGGGATGGGGCTTGCCCGAGAGCCACAGGTATGACAGGCACTCTGGGATGCCTCCACGCCTTCCCTCTGCCACAGACTCACTGGGATGCCTTGGGCACTTTCTCTTAGCCATGTGCACAAGTCCTCGGCCCCTGCAGCACCGTCCAGCATCAACCAGTCCTGCTTTCACATGCCCATGGGCATACTGGGGACAGAGTCTTGGGTTCAGTGGCCTGAATAACCCCTTGCAGGTCTATGATCCTGTGATCCTTCAGGCGCTGCCCGGAAAAACAAGCAGCAGAAAGCAGCACCTTCTAGAGAATTGAACCATCTGCAGAAGCAGGCCTTTGAAAGAGAGAGAGGAAAGGTTCTAACATTCTCGATCAGAAGCGCCTTCGACCCATAAACCGGGTGCTCTAAAGGCTTTCTCTGCCAGAATGTCATTCTCTAACTGTCGCAAAGGTGCGTGCCTATCCGGGCAGCCTTAGGGACTAGGAACCTGCGAAAATCTATCGCCACAAAAGCCTCTGGTTGAACTCCGGGGACCTCCCTTGCGTCAGATCACGCAGACACACTTCCTCGCAAGTAAGCGCCGTCCAGACGAGGGAGTGCTGAGACGGTGTGTCATTTGTTGCGCCCAGTGAACACGGCCGGGGCCGGCTTGGGAGGGACCGCGTAGTGGAGCGTGCGATCCTGGCAGCTCGAGCTGCTTTCGGGACGGGACGGATCCCTCCGGGTTTACTTAGAAGTCAGCCTCTCCTTTCCTTCCCCCCCGCAGAAAGGGAAAGGAAAGACCGCGGCCCCCCGGCGGGGCTACCACCCCCGGAAGCCCCTGCCAGGCTGCGAACGGGCATCCTGCGCCTTTAAGGCCTCCCCCTCGGTTTCCTCCTAATTTGCGTTCCCGTCTGGAGCGTCGCCCCCCCCCCCGGGGGCGGCACCGCCTCCCCGCCCTTCATCGGCGCTGACATCAGCCTTAAAAGCCCGGTCTTGGGCGTGGAGGGCGAAGGCGCGTCGCGGCTGGATCTCTTGGCGCCTCCTGCGAGCCCCGCAAGGTCCCGGTGCAGGTAGGTAGGTGGCGGGGCTCCGCCTGGAAGCCGCCCCCGAGCCCCTCCGGCCGTCCGCGCGGGGCGCCTGCCGGCGGCACGTGGGAACGCGCTCTGCATATGGCCCGGCGGGCCCTTTCCTCGGGAGCGTGCTGGAATCCTCGGGCGCCGCCGGGCAGGTTTCGGGGTGCGCGCCGAGGGGAGCAAGTGGCCTGCAGAAGCCGCGGCTGCCGGGGAGGAGGTCGGAGGGGGTCCTGTGAAGGGGCCCCGAAGAGTGTTCCGGGGGAAGATGGGCGGCTGCGTCCGCATGGGCCCCGCTTGGGGCGGGCGGGCGGGCGGGCTTGCCCCTTCGCCCGGCGCGCAGGGTCTGGGAGCGGGCCGGGCACGGGCGCGCCGGGGGGCACGGGCTGCGAGAGCCGCGGGGGCGCTCGCGGACCGGGCCGCGCACTCCTGACCCGCGCCGCCCCCCCCCCCCGCCCCGGTTTCTCAATCGCTCGGCTTGCTCATCGCGGCGGCTGGGTGGCGCCCGTCCCGGCTTCCCTGGACGGGTCTTGCACGGCCGCCGGCGCTTTGGGAGGGTGGGGAAGACGCGTGCCGCCCCCAGGCACGGCCGGCCGCTCCGCGAGGTTTTCCCGAGCGACCGCGAAGGAAAATGTCTCCTGGCCCCAGCTTCGCCCAACGTGGTGCTCCCCAGCAGTCCCCGTAATCCCCAACCAGCTGGCTGGGGGACTGTGGGAGCTGCAGTCAGGCACATCTCCGGGCGAGGCTGCCGCAGCCCCATCGCGCAGTCTTACTGTATGACCCAGGCCGAGTCCTGCTTGAAGGAGGCGCATGAAAATGAGTGGGTCGCATTTCACCCATGGTCTGAAGGGGGGTGGCCCCATCTGTGCGCCCCACCTGAAGAACTAAAGCCCGGTGGAACGCGGAGGCCCCTTTCGCAGGAGGGACGGGAAAAGAGAGACGTGCCCGCTGGCAGAGCGCAGCTTTCTAACGCACGTGGTGCCCCTTTGTAGAGATCTCGGTAGCTGGAAAGACCTCCCAGCCACCCTGCGTTTTGCACATGCTCTGCTCCTGTTAATATACATCTTTGGGGGTGCTACTGGGCACCCCTGAGGGGCCAGCATCTTGGCGTCTGCCCTGCTCCGCAGATGATGGGAACGTGGTTTAGGCGGCTGTAACGGCCTTTGTGAGTGATGAGAGATGACTGAGTAATTGTCTGTTATTTATGGGGTAAGAGCGGCGGGCGGGGGGAGTTGAATCACAGCGCCGAGCAGACCCACTCCTGGAAATCGGGCAGCTTGGAAAGTTTCCTGCTGACTTTCCCCGCCTGCCGCTCCAGCCGAGATGCGTCCTCAGCTGATCTCTGATGGAGGTCGGAATGCTGCAGGGATGACGACACTGGGCCGGGGGGCCGACACCGCGCTTTCCCCCTGCGAGGAGGGGCTGGGCCGTCTCCCCCGTCTGCTGACTGGCAAAAATCGGCTGGCAGCGGCTGTGAACACGCGTGGAACTCCCTGCCGCAAGAGGCCGCCCGCTGAGAAGGGCCTAATCCTTCCCTCGGTGCTGAAGGCAGGCTCTTGCTAAACTGGATTGGGGATTTGGAAAGGCCCAGTGCGCAAGGAGGGAAGAGCTAACCTTTCTTTTGCCGGTCACGTGCTCCACACAAGGTCTGCCCCCGCTACACATACACACGCACTGCAGTGTGGTGACTTCAGCACAGGAAAAACCCTCTTCCAGCCGGCAAAGCATTTCTGTCCTGCGTCTCTAAGCTTAATTGGCAAGCAGGTGGAGTCTGGGGACAGGCTCTGCAGTGGGGTGCAAGGTGAGGCCCTGGGTAAGAGTCTTGGGACTGTGCCCCCATCAGGAACAGTAGGATCTGGGGCACAGGTCCGTAGGATCGAAAAAGCCCCGATTTGCCCATGTGGCTTAACACATGCCCTAAGGCCTGTGTCTTTCTACCTCCCCTGGGCACCCCCACTTTTAAATATGGGTGCATGGACAGCCCAGGGAAGGGCATTTTACCGCAGGAAAAAACTCGGGCAGCAGGAGAAGAATTGCCTGTGATCCTAAAGCCAATTCATCCAGGGGATCCACCACCCTCAGGACCCCCGCACCTGTCTTTCAGCCAGTGCCACTGCACCGCAGGGTGGTGGGGCACATGGGCTCCCAAAGTCTGGGGGTTCCAGCTGCACTGGGCCACATCCAGGCTCCCCCGCTAGGCCGCTGGTCTCCCAGTGCTGCTGCCACTGGGGCAGGGTGATGCCCTAGGTAAACTGTCCTCCTTCCTGAGCCCACCCCTGGGGGACACTGGTCCGCCAGGTGGGCTTTGACTACAGTTCCCAGCATCCCTCACCAGCAGCTTTGCCGGCTGGGTCTCATGGGGGTTGCAGTCCAGCAGCATGGGGATAAGAGAGGGAGGAGGCCGCTGGGGGGGGGGGGGTTCAAAGGCATCTGGCAGGCTGCACTTGTGCCACCACTGGCGCCGCCTGCATCTCCACCGTTTCGTTTCCTGGCATGACCCTGGGTTCAAGTGTTGTTGGAAAGCTGACAGAAGTGGGCTTGGACAATTTCTAATTGCAAACACAACCCCATCTTAATTATTTTGGCTGCTAGTATTCAGTGGTTGCCTGGGCCATTAAGAGTTCCCTGCATCCCTGTCGTGCAGTTCTCAGATACGGAAAGTGAAACATGCAGTGTGGATGCCACAAGTATTTACAGGGGTACCGCCATGCCAGGCCTTGGGGGCCCAGGTTTGGGGCCCCATGCAGGAGACTGAGCTAAAGAGCCCCGGAACATTGGCTCGCCCCACAGTGCAGTAAGCATCCATGTTGCCGTCGAAAGAACACTTCTCCTGTAAGCATTCAGTTCAGAGCCTGAAATTGCCTAATGTGATCACTGGTCCTATGCCATAGATACTCATCTGGGAGGCGCAGTTGGTTGCTGACTGATCACAAACATGACTTTGGCTCTGTGATGCGTCTGCAGCTTCTAGCAAGCCTGCAAGGTAGGCTAGAGTTGCCTCGTGTGTTGCCAAAGGAACTAGAAACTTGTTGCTGCTTTCCAGGCCTCGATAACATTCCAGACAGGGGGAAGGAAACCTCAGGCTTGTGTGATCTGCTGTAACACACACACACACACACACACACACACACAACTGCAAAATACTGGTGAAAGCAGGTACACACTAAGAATCGGAAATGCCACTGAGCCTAGTTCAGCAACTGGGGCTCTGTCTAAGCTTCCAAAATACGCCGCTCCTTGAATACAATAAGCCACCCTCTTGTAAGACAGTTAAGGCACCTGACATTTCTGTTTCACCTGCTCCAAAATGCCTAGAGATCAACGCGTAGGTGCAAGCTACCAAGCTACCTTCTGTTCCCTCTCATTCTCTGCACCAGTTTTCTATCTGCCCTTGCTGTGCACACAGCCCAAACAGAGAACTAATTCATGCATGCAAACTTCGGGCTACCCCCGTATTTCACCACCAAGTGACTGCCCTTTGGGATGCAAAGTATCCTTGCTGGTGGTTTCGCAGGTCTTGCGCACGGGTCGCACCCCTGCATCTGCAGTTCAGAATAAGGAACTGAGTACAGATGCTCCTAGACCTGAAAGTACCCCATTAATAAGGGCAGGCCCGATTCATTCCAAGACGAGAAACTGCTCGTGTTCCTTCCTTTTTGGAGACTTACTGAACACACCATAAAATATTTCTGCTCTAGGCCCAGAGGGAAATACAAACAAGATACTGATAAAATCCCGAATATAAAACACACCGAATGTGGCAATGCTGCCACGGGTACAGGATCAAGGTTGAAGGTGAAATTTGATTAGCAAACTAAAAATACCCAAGTCGATATTAAAAAAAAAAAGGCTAGAACAGCAATGTCTTAGCCTGGCACCCAAAGTGTTGGTGTGCGGCTGCCAGGTGAGCTGTTGAGCGCACGTACCAGAGGTGAGTCGCCCCCACCAAAGAGTCCCCTCTCTTCTGGTCACTTTCTAAACCTCTGAAAGGCCTTTGCAGGTCACCTTACAGTCTCCTCTCCTCTCCCACTTTGCTCTCCGTCTGGCCCAACTACCTCCACCCACATCCAAAGGACATCCTACTTGGGCTTGGATCAGTCCTGCAATGGACCACGAGACACAGAACCATCTGTGCTGAAAGGCACTCTGCTTTCGTGCAGAGGCACCCGTGGCCAAGCTGCATCCAAGCGCAAGCACTGGGAGAGCAGGTTCCTCTAAACCTGCTTAGGTGCAGAGATGAAGTCCATTTGTGTCTGCCAAGGGCCCTTTCGGTGCCCCTTGGCAGAGGTGGTTGGCACCAGAATGCAGTATTCTGGATTCTCATAATGTAGTGCCAGGTCATGGGGCATTTGCGGAAGTTTAACGGAGCCAGTGTGGTGTAGTGGTTAGAGTACTGGGCTGGTGCTGGGTTTGAGTCCCCGCTCAGCCATGATGCTCGCTGGATGACTTGCTGGCCAGTCATTAAGTTTTATGAGGAAGCTGTTGGCTTCCTTGCAAGAGAAGGAAAAGGTGGGAGAGAAATGTAAGAGATAGTGCCTGGTAATAGCAATAGATAATATAGCCTTGTAATGAACGCATGGCTCTGTACCGGCCAAGGATTCTCAGGACAGCTGCAGGGCATGAGAACTAGGGCCCTGGTGTCTCTTTCTTTTTTATCTGCCCAATAGCTGAGGTGCTTTCTGTGCTGGCGCCAGGTCTAACGGTGCTTAAATACTGTTGAATCCTGCCGCCGCCGCCGCTGCATATGTGGCTTTCGCAAAGAGATGTGCACCATGCACGGGGGGAGCTACTTTCTCTGCAAGCCTTCACAGCGTGCCACTTGATCTGTGCTGGTGATGCTATTGCTGAGCTTGGCGATTCAACGGGGGGGGGTGCCTTTCACTTTTCTGCACCGCTGGGGTTAGCAACCCCACAAAGGCTTGGCGGGAGGAGAAACCAGCAGCCAACAGTTGAGACCAGTATGAAACAGGCCGTTCATCTTTTCCGCTCCGAGCCACAATCCGAAAGCGCTTGTCCCCCGAGAGGCTTGCCTTCTACGGGCCGCAAACGCCTCCCTGCCACGCTGCTTTGAAGTGTTTCCTCTTGGTGTGAGCAGAGAAGGTTGAAGGGGAGCCTCTGTCCTGATTTGTTTTGGGACAATGAGGGGATTTCCGTTTCCTGAAATCATGTCCGTTTCTGGAAAGGGAGAAGGCAATTCCGACAGTGGATGTTCTAATGCTGGTGTTATAAAATAACCGTGGCTTAAAGAAGTGGCGTCCCATGCTGATCCAACAGTGGGGCTTTGTCGATGGGAGCACGAGGGTCCCTGCCTCCAAGGAGCCTACAGTCTGTGAAGGCTGAAAGCACAACCCTCTAAGTTCTCCTGGTTGGCTGGAAGACAGAAGCTGAATGGAGGGTCTGTCCTTTTCTGTCCTCTTTAAAGTACAAGTATTCTTCCTGCCAAGGTGTGGCTTTTACCCAGATGCTGATTTCTGTTCTTTGCAACTTTAACCAACTGCCTGGGGAGGGAAGGGTGTGTGCATGCACACCCTTGACTCAGAAGTTTGATCTTTCCTTCCTGTTCTCAGCAGCGTTTCCTTATGGGGGTTTCGGAGGATAACAAAAGTGCTGCAGGCAAGTGCAATGCCTTGAGTGGAGCAGTTGGCTACTTCAGCTGAATCCCATGCTCCTAGGCTCAAGTGCTCTGAGCACGTGTGGAGTGATTTCTCTACATAGACAAAGTAATAAAAAAAAAAAAAAAAAGTTAGGCAGTGCCCTGAACATGTGGAGGAATGCTTGCTAGTCCAAAAGTCCTGCTCTCACACTTGCACAAACCATGCTCGGGACAATTTTGGGTCCTCTTTTTCTGCTCCTGTGTCTCTGCCTTGAGCTTCTGCAGTACTGAAGGGCTGTGGAGGCCCCCCCCGGGGGGGGGGTCAACTGTATCTGTTGCACTGCCGCAACATGTCCTCTCGCAGGTGTGCAGTGCATCAGCATCCGTGTGTCTGCAGCCCACAAGTGTGTGCGAATGAGACAGATTCACGGCACAATTTTAGGACTGCTGGTGAACGGGATGCAGTCCTGGCTGGTGGATGATCAAAGCGGAAGGCCTGCCCAGCCAGCTATGAACAGACCAGCAACTCAATCTAGTCGAATGGAACCTCCAGCTTCAGAAGCGGTCTACCTTGGGATGGCAGGCACCAGGGAGAAGCCACTAGGAAAAGCCAATACGTTTGTGACCTCCTCAAGATGCTCCTCGAGGCTCCCGAGGGGGGAAATGAGCCGCTGCACTCCATGGGCCTCTGACCTTGCTGGAACTGCAAAGAAGAGGTTGCGTTGCTACAACAGTGCATTGTGTTTTTTAAGAAACCAGGAAGCTTCCCCCTCCACCTCGGCCCCCCCACGGATGCTGTGGCTTCTGATTCTGGCAGCTGGCCACATCTCTTCCTCCTCCAGCAGCCCTCCTCTTTCGCAAATAAGGTGGCTACCGCGGGTACGGAGAACTGTGCTGGAAGCCCGGCGGGAGGTGGGGTGGAGCCAGGCGCATGTGCAGAGCCACTGTGTTCTCTCCCGTAGCACCTGGAAGGGGGCAGGGGAGAGGTGCGACTTGCATCCAGGCCAAGAGATCCCTGTGCCACTCCGGCTGCTGGAACACGGTGACAAAGTCCCCCTCCGTTGAACTCCGCCTATGGAGAAAGAAAATGGCCTTCTTTTTAATAAAATGCTGCAGATACGCTCTCATGAGGGTGCCGGGCCTGTCACACTTTTCTTGGACACACGAGCTGAGGATCCAACCTCATCCTGTGACTGTTTTTCTTCCTTCCATCAAAAGATTTCCCTTTTCCAGCTGAGCCTATCCTGGAGTGTGGCTCTTCGGAGCAATTGGCTGAAGGGAGAAGACTACCTCAGCTCCTTTTTAAAAGCATTTTAATCACACCCTTGAGTCAAAATGGCTTATAGGCAAAAGGGCAGGACAGGAGAAGGAAAGGGGGGGGGGAGTCCCAGTTCTGAGAATGACCAGCTGAGGTGGAAATGCTTCAATAGCCCGAAGGAATGGCTGCAGCTTGGCAGCCAGGCACAGAGAAGACGAGTCAAAGGCAGCTGGCGTCTCAGTAAAGCCGATGTTTCTCCTTTCTCTCTGCTCTGCCGGCTCCACCCCAAGGAAATTCTGCCCCACCTCAAAGAACAGCTTTCCCAAAGTTGGCCTGAACTAGCCAACCGTAAGCAGTGTCTGATTGCAGCTTGGCAAGTTGAGGCTCCTCTTGTAACACAAAGTATTCTGCTGAATCCTGAATGGGCGGCTTAGACCCATTCCCTTGACAAAATGGCCGCTCCTGGCAAAGATGGACACCCACAAGTCTGCCCTGCGGAGGTGGACGGACACAGTCCTCTGCGTTTTTGGCCTCTCCTTGTGGGGGTGTGGTTATAGGGTGGTCATGATGAACCTTGGCAGTTCAGAAATTATGCCTTGCATCCTTTCCTTTCTGCTCTGGGAAAATGGAAATCGCCTGCCAAAACTGACTAGCATCAGACTGAGAACAAGCATGGGAATAGTTCTTTGCAGCATGTGTCCTTGGCTTCAGCTGTTTGTTGTAAGAGGAGATATGGGGGCTGTTAGATGTTTTTCTGGGCAGGGGCTTCTCAGTTCTTGGAGGAGGACGTGGGGCAGAGAACCAAGCAGCCAGTGCTAGTAAGCATGATGGTGGAATGGACCTGTCCTATGCAAAGGTGGTGTAACTCTGGCAACAACGGCCCGGCAGGTGAGCGAGCTGGCGAGGGCTTGGCAAGCCATCTTTGGGGAATTCTGCTGGGAAGAGGCAGTGCGTACAGAATGCTGGAGAGGAGACGCCATCTGCAAGCTAAAATCAGACTATCGGGCCGGGAGCTTTTGCTAGCCTGGAGCCAGCTAGTCCGGCCAGAAGCAGTGCCTGCCTGCCTGCCTCTCCCTGTGGTCTCTGGTGCCAGTTTTCAAAGTGGCTTTGAGCCTCCTCTGGAACCGGGCCTGGACCTGGCTCCATTTTCCTGCTGAAGCATCTTTTTTCCCCTAAAGGGTCCCACCACGGTGGTGCAGAGAACAGCGGCCGGGTGGCTTTTCACAGGGTGTTCTGATTAAAACTGAATGGCGGGTCTCATAAAAGCATAACAGCCCCATAAAACTGTAGCAGCTGCAGCTTTTATGCTGAACCCATCTGCCCCAGAGGGCGTCTGTCTTCCCTCATCTCCTCTGGATTCTTCCTGGATTGACAGAGAACTTCCCAAACCGTCTATTTTGGAAGGGCAGAAGATGAACCTGGGCGTAGATCTAATGGCTCCCCTGTGCTCTTTATTTTTTCCAACATACACGCCCGGACTTCAGAAGCAGGAGGCGACGTTCCACACCGCGTGAGAATGACGGGGGCCTTGTGGAGAGAGAGCCATGCTTTGGGGGCACTGCTGCTCGCTTCTCAGTGACGTGGAGCAGCCCTCCCTGACCTTGCATCCTCCAGCTGTCTGGGCCCACAGCTCCTGAATCGGGATAATGGGAACTGTAGTCTTGAGATCACCTGGCTCCGGAAGGCTGATCTGCAGTGCAGAACACAGTGTCCCTTTAGTGAAAAAAAAAAAAAAATAGAAGTGCAGATTCCCTGAGGAACCAGGGATTCCCCCTCCAGGAAAATGCATGTGCATTTGGCCCTCCGGTCTGCTAGAACAGATGGGCAGGCGGGCATGTGATTCCCCTCAGCCCTGGCCAATAGTGAGGGATAAAAGGAGGGCCACCAGTTGCGCACTCCTGGTCTCAAGCCAGTGAGGTGGGACCCCCTGACACCAAGCATCTGCTCCGGCTTTAGAAAGTTGCAGTGACTATTTCTAGAGACCTAGCAACTCTGCTGTTTTGTAACCCCGAGCTAATAACCAGGATGCACTGGTTAAAAGATGTCACCTTTCTCCTCTTGCTATCTCTTTGGCTGGCAGACGCTTTCCAGAACGCTTCTGATCTCGCTTCTGATGCAGTTTGTGCTGTGGTGGCTCTGCTGGCTAGGAAGACTGGGTTTTGTAACTCTTCTAGGGGGCCTCCAGTTGGAGGAGGCTGTCCCTCTGGTCTTCCATGCTTGGCAGGATCAATGGACTTGTATCTTTCTCCCCACTGGACCCCCTGTTTGCCTGCATCTAGCTCGGATTCTGTCCCCAGGGGCAGGGGGCTTCCTGCTTCTTTCTCAAAATGTTCTGCACGCTGGCACGCTTCCAGCGGTCTTGATCGGGAGCAGTGCCTGCAGCAGGGCTGTGCTCAAAGCTTCTAGCAGCGCCTGGCATGGTGCAGCTGCATTTGAACATGTTTCAATTCTGCCAAGAAGAGCCCGAGTCATTCTGCTCTCTTCCTTCCTCCCGCAAAGCCCGTCTCTTCTAGGAACTGGCCCCTCGTGAACCGCCCCTGCTTCCTGACTGTGGGCTTGGCCCTCAGCCGGCTCTGCAAGGACAGCTTCTGCTCAGCATCAGGTTGGATTTCTCCTTTTTCTTCAGAGTCCAAAACCAACTTTAACCTCTACCAAACCGGGCATCAAAACTCTGCTGCACCAGAGATGCTGGGACTGTCTGCCTTCATCTTAAAACAGCTCTTAAAATCGGCCACTGGCCGGATTGTGCAGGCTGAAGAGACATTCCCTATGGACAAACAGACCGGGGTAGCCTTGAAAGTTGCCTTGCTGACCTTCTGGGCCCATTGCATGCACAGACGTAGGCCTAGCTTAATTATAGGCGTTTGTGAGTCTTCCGAATGCCCGATTAGGACCACGTCCTTGCAAACAAGCTTGCAAAAACATACTTCACAAAGCTTCACAAAACAGCACAGTGGGAACTGACTGCATTATATGAGAGGGAGAAGAAGACCTCTCGCTGTGCTTTCTGCAGCCCATGCACCATTTCATACAGTTTTTCCGTGTCTTTCCTCCACTCTGCCCCCTCACCTGCCTTTTCCTAAGCCAGAAAGGCCCAAGTGCTGTTGCCACTCTTGCGAAGGGGTTGCGGCAGCCCCTGGCTCATTTTTGTGGCCCTTTCCTGCATTGTCTTGCAGCGTCGTTCTTCTTGAGCTGCAACGAGCTGAGCTGTACAGCATCCTCCAAAATCGGTTGCCCCATTGATAAGAATGAAAGATCTCGGCACAGGCCGTGCGACTTTTCAATTCCTTTTGGCGTGATCCCCCCGTGCGCCTTTGGCCTCTCTTTGCAGGAGCCACAATCCGAGCTTTCGGTGTACCAGCAGATTTCACTGCCTCCTTGGCAGTTTTGCACTTCAGAAGTGCCTGACTACAACTCCCATAACCCTCTGCCAATGTGCCCGTCAGCTGGAGTGATGGCGGCTGCAATTCAACACCTCTGGAGGGGTGCCTAGGGTGCGGAAGGCAGGCCTGGCCGTGGGGGAGAGGGAGGCACTCGGCACATGCTTGGCTGCTTCCCAGACCTTTAAAGTTGCCCGCACGAAGCACGGGTCGTGTTTTGGGCTCAGGAAGGCTGTTCTGCGCCCCTTCCTCAGGCAGCCTCTGTGACTTGGGCCTCCTGCGAAGCAGCTGCTGTCTGTCCTCGCTCTCTGCCACCTCCCCCGGTTTCCCAGACGGTGGTAGGGGGAGTCTGGAGGGAAACAAAGGCCTGCAGTGTTGTCTGGAGAGCATCGGACAATGGGCCCCGGTGGGTGGCTGTAACGCCCTTTTGTGAACCGCTGGGGAGAAGAGGCAGGGAGGGCTGTGAGAATCTGCCGGAGCGTAAAGCACTTGGCATCACCCCTGCATGTTTCTTGACGAGGAAAAAAGCCATTCCTGCTTGAGGGGGGACCCTCCCTTGCATTACAAAGTGGCTCATGTGGGTCTTGATGCATCTGGAAGAGAGCTTTTTTCCTGAATTAAACTGCAGGCTGACATTCTTAACATCCCGAAATAGGGATGAGTGATCGGTGACGATTCAGATGCTTTGTCCTACAACTCCCATCAGCTTGGGAAGCATTACAGCCTTCCCAGAAACTTATTTTAGATCCCTGTTTATAACCAAGCAAAGAGTCAGGCCAGGCTCTTCAGCCCATAGGGTTGTACAACGAACTGGGCACAGAAAGGAAGAGGTGGGTGGCGGAAGCGGCACAGGGAGTAGAGGGTTGGTTTACGAGCTGTTTTTGCTGCTCGCCTGCAGGCCAGCTCAAGGGCACCCCAGGCGAGCTGCTTTATGAGTCTGATGTCACCAATCTGACTTGCCGCTGCCTCGTTTCTTGGCAATAAATAAATCTGTCCTACAGCCCAGGCACAGAGAACTGGGATGTGCCAGGCCTCTGGGCAGTGATTTCCCCACCTGCTTGTAAACAGGCTCCTTTGGAAGGGAACAGGGCCCCAGGAAAAAAGAGCCTCCACCTCCATGCAAACCTTCCATATCCCCCACCCCCAGCAGCCCTTGAGCTGGTTGTTGCAACGGCTCATGAAGATACCATGTGGGGAGCAGGAATCGGCACCCCTCAGGAGAGCAGCCCATGGACTGGGCCGGAGCGAGGGGTGGGGGAACAAGCGAGTTGCAAAGGGGGCAGGTGAAGCGCTGGGGTGGACTGCAGGCCCACGGCGAGTGCCCAGCTGTGCCGACTTGTGGTGCGCGCCCTGGAAATCTGCTCTCTCAATGTACAATGTACTCAGTGGGCAGGGATCTTCCACACTCTCCTCCTGGCGCTCACAGTCTGGTGTGGCCCCTGATAGGAAATGCCCGGGTGCTTGATAAGCGGTCTCAACAGGAAGGGCTGGGCACAGCAGCGCCCGCTCTTTATCAGGGGCTGGGCTGTCCGGAGCGAGAGCCGAATGACCTGGCCTCTGTCCAGCTGGGCTACGCCACCCCTCTGGCAGTTCTTCTGTGGGGCAGGGATCCAATGCGACGCCCTCTCGAGGAGCAGCCCAGATCAGAGCGGGCCCCGACACTTGCTGCTTTGCGCCAAGCCAGGCCAGTGGGCTCCCCACCTTGCTCTGATTGTCGGGGTTGCGGGGGGAGATCTCTCTCTCTCTCTGCGGAGAGCCGTGCCAGCCGGCAAAGCCAGGAGTGAAGGATGCAGGGAGGGCAGCCCTCCAGATGTTCTGGTCTGCAGGCTGCGCACCCTGGTCCAGCTGCAAGCTTGTGGGGCAATTCCAAGGGGGCAGCCGGGGGCAGCTTGGCCGTCGATCACGTGCCTCCTCTGCACCGGAGGAGCTGCCTGGCATCTTGGTTCAAAGCAGATCGTGGGGGGCAGGGGGAGCCTGTTTGGAAACAACTTCTGGTCAGAAGATGATGGCTCTGGTCGATCCGGGAGGCAGGCTTTTATGTGCAGGGCGAGTGAGAGGCTGGAAGCGGAGAACAGTGCTGCTGCTGGAGAAAGAACTGCCCGAAACCCCAGCGGGCCGCAGCCACGCAGAGTCCGCTGCACGGTGGCGCTTCCTGAGGAGAGGAGCCGCGCTGCCTTGGATCTGGCCCCTCCAAGCAGCACCCTGCTTGCCAGTGGCCGGCAGATGCTTGGGGGGAATCCGCAAGTGGGACGTGGACGGGGCAGCGCGTTTCTGCTTGTGCTCGTTATGATTGCGACGACGACTACACTGTCGCGCTTCCATCAGGGAGGAGAAGGCCGTCAGCGGGGGCTTGTCCTGGTGGCCGCACGCGCCCGCCAGGGCCAGAGACAGCATGCTTGTGTGCAGCAATTGCTGGGGAGCATGGGTGGTAGAGAGCTGTGGACACCTGGCTGGCCACTCTGTGGACAGGATGCTGGACCAGGAGCACCCTGGTCTGATCCAGCACGGCTCTTCGGGCGTTATTAGGGCTCGGCTGTTGGGCAGCGCCTGCTCAGGGCTTCTGGAGTGCCACTAGCTTAACACCTGTCACCTCGCCCCTCCTTTCTTCCCTTAGCTCACTCTCCCAGTCTTCGGAGTTACACAACCCACATCCGTCGTCATGGCAAACCGAGGGCCTTCTTACGGACTCAGCCGGGAGGTTCAGCAGAAGATCGACAAGCAGTATGATCCCGAACTGGAGCAAATTCTGATCCAGTGGATCGGGGCCCAGTGTGGACCTGATGTTGGGCAGCCCCAGCCCGGCAAGGATAACTTCCAGAAGTGGTTAAAAGATGGCACGGTAAGGCTCACGGCGGGACATTCCACCCCTTTCCCTCGAGTCCAGACACTTGGGAAGTGGTTTCCCGAACCCGAGACCCAGAAGCAGTGCTCAGTTTTAATGTGCTTTCATGCATCTTTAGCGCCACAGTCCCTGGGAAAAGCCGCACGGCTTACAAATCAGTTCCGGCTGTTGACACCTCCTCTGGGAGCAGCTCTGTTGTAAAGCGGACAGGTCTTTACTGCTCATCGGAGACCCAGCCTGAGTAAAATGCCTTGTGTGGCAAAACGGCCAGGCTACACGGATCCCATCTTGCTGGGAGAATGGGGAGGGCTGCCGCTCAACGAACCGAGATGGAAGCTGGGAGGGGGCGGAGGATGAGCGCTTTGCTCCTGTGACCAAAACGACCCTGCGAGCCCTGGCCAGGCTACCCCCCTCAATACGGGATGCACCTCCATTCCCGGGAAGGAAGCTGCTTTGAGCGGTTGCTGGCCAGAGCAGCCAGGCCTTCCGACACCTTTAAACAGGGAGCCGCTTCACGCAGTACGAAAGCTCATGCTTAAGCTACGCCAGAGTCTATTCATTAGGAAGGTGCCTCGCCTGAAAGGCCAGTCCTCCTCGAGAGTGGCTTTGCGGAGGGGCCGCTTCAGGTGCAGTCCTATACATCTATCTGGGAGTAAGTCCCGCTGAATGACTTCCATGTAGACTCACATTTTCCAGCGGCGTGGCCATGATTCACCCTTCCAGCTGCCGCCTCTTCTCCAGTGGGGGGTTCTGGCAGCTTTTTGAAGTACAGGCCGATGACGGCATTCTGAGGGTTGGAGGTGGTTTTGAAAAGAGAGCGCGCAGCTTGAGGCGCATGCATTCCTCCTCCTCCTGGTTGAGCGGGGTTTGTTTGTTCTTTAAGCCGCTTAAAAAAAACAACCAAAAAAAAAAAACCCTGTTTGTCCAAACGGGACAATGGGTTACATGGTGCATGTATGGGAAAACGGTGGACGTTCTGGCCGGGGGGAAAATGCCAAAGGTCAGAGGAGTGCTGTGTTTGCTGAAAACCTCGGTAGGATGCCTGTCTCACAAGGAACGATTCGCTCACTTTATTTCTGTACCAGTCAATATCCAACGCCCAGCAGGCAGGTCGCAAGAATGCAGATCGCCACACAGGGCAAAATGAAGGCCTAACACAATATCCTTCATGTGCAACGATGCAGGAACGGGTAAAAATGATTATCATTTTTATCTGGCATACAAGGACCCGATAAAGCAACTGTGATTAAAAGCGCCATCAAACGCCACGAAATGCCTAGGAGTGCAAGGAAGGCTTGTCCTGGCACTGAAAAGGCAACGATGCCACCGCCAGGTGGACCTCCGATGACATCATGAATCGGGAAATGAAATGGCCATCCTGGCCGAGGGGAAAATACCAGAGGTCAAAGGAATAGTATAGTATTGTTTCCGGTGCTGTAGCAAGTGAAGCCTTCAGCAGAGGGTTTGATGTCTCTGGCTCTCCAGCTGAGCTCTGTCCTGCCCAGAGTTCCTTTTACGATGGGATGGATTAAGCTTGGGATTTATGTGGCTTTCTTCAAAAGGGGCTGGCTGCCAACCAAAACCCAAGCCAACAGCACCCCTCTGTAGCAGCCGTCCCTCTCTCAAAGCTGTCCTCGAACTGCACGCTGGGAAAGGACGCTTGAGAGCTTCTGGTCCCGTCTTCTGTGGCATACGTTTTTCCAAAGTACGCATTTTTCACACATGTATTTCAGTCATACACATGCTGCCAGACACATTTATTTTGGTCACTAAAGGATGTTGCAGGCTTGGAAATGTATGGCCTTTGGACCACAGTTTGCGGCTGAGCCTGTGTTCGGTCCGGAAGGCGCAAACTGGGTAAAACCAGAGAGAGAGATTTCTCAAGCACTTTTAGCATTCTGGGCTGCTGGAGGTGAAAGATGAGCTTTCTTCTTGCCATCGTAAGAATGTGTGTGTGGGGATTTTCTTTACGTAAAAGAGAGGTTCAGGTGACAATCTGGGCAAGGCAGGAAATGCAGAAGCAAGACTTCACCGCGATGGAATGCAGGACCACGGCAGGTAACCGTGCTTTTTCCTCATCCGGCTAGGTGCTCTGCAAGCTTATCAACAGCCTCTATCCGAAGGGGCAAGAGCCTGTGGCCAAGATCCAAGGTTCCACCATGGCCTTCAAGCAGATGGAGCAAATTTCCCAGTTCCTGCGTGCAGCCGAGAACTACGGCATTCTGGCCACAGACATATTCCAGACGGTGGATCTCTGGGAAGGTACGGCCCTGTTTGTGCATGGCAAAGCGGGGAAGCTAAGGGGAAAATGTGAAGAGCTGCAGGTCTGCACCTCCCAATCTGGTGTCTTAGGCTGAAATGCCCAGCATCCCCAACCAGGGTGGCCATGGATGATGGGAGGTGCAGTCCACCACACATGGATAGTGCTGGTCTCACTGGGAGTCAGTACGGATGTTTTGGACTCCAGCTTCTGTCAACCCTGGCCCTTGTTCAGTGTTGGTTGGGGTTTATGGGAGTTGTAGTCCAACCCCTCTGGAGGGTGCCAGCTTGGGGAAAGCTCGGGACTTTGCAGTGAAACAGACAAGGACATGGGGCCTGCAAGCAACACTGACCAAGATCTGAACAGCCATGGCTGCACGTGGTCTTGTTTTCACAAAGATCATGTCCCCCCCCCCCCCCCTTTATATACTGGTGAACCTGGTCCTGCTTCTGTTCTTGGGTGGATGTTGAATACAACCTATTTAAAATAAGACAGGGCAGGACGTGCCCTTCTGAAAGGTGGAATGAGGGGAGCTCCTGGGAAATGGCGGGGCTTTTCCCTGCATTTGTTTCAGTAGAAAGTGGGAGGAGGAAGACGGGAGAGGATGGTAAATGCCAAGCTGCGCTGGATTCAGAAAGGGGTTTGCACATATCCCTGAGCCAACTGTGGGTCTAGATACAGACAGGAGAATTAGATATCCGTCCCACCTGGTTTCCTGTAAGGCTCTGCTCTGGCCTTAGCAGGCACCCTGTGAGTAGGCTAGGCTGAGAGTCCCAGGACTGGCCCAAGGTCACCCGGTGGCTGGACAGAGACTAGAACCTGCATCTCTTGGTGCCAGCCCAACAGTAGCTGCAGCACCACACTGCCTTTCCCTGTATTGCATAGATTTGTTTGGTGACCCGGTTGAAAACTTTTCTTTCCCCTGCCCCACAGGGAAGAACATGGCTTGTGTACAGCGGACCCTGATGAACCTGGGAGGGTTGGCGGTCTCTAAGGGGGACGGACTCTTCGCTGGAGACCCCAACTGGTTCCCAAAGTAAGTCTGACGCCGGGGCCCGACCGGCATGTAGGCTTTCGAAATGTGGAATTCGTGGCTGCTCCTTGTGGGACTCCCTGGGGAACATCCCTGAGAACCTGCCAGTTCCTGGTAACCGCTCGCGCCCCACAGAAGCCAGTTCAAAGTGTTTAATGTCTTTTTTGGTCATCCTTGCGACAATCCTCCGGGGTAGGCCTGCATAAGCTCAGCATTGTAATTAATATTTTCTGGGGCACTGCTTTACACTGCCTGGAGCAGCAGCAGATGACTAACACTGCTGTTAGAACCAATAATCGTGACGATATTTATAACAGTGATAATATCAACAAGGCTAATTCAAGTAGCATAAGGTAGCAGCCATGTTTATCGCCCACCGTATCCTCATAACAACCTTTTGAGGTAGGTTGGGCTGAGAGCGCACAACCGATCCAAAGACATCCAGTAAGTTTGACAGGACGCTCCCTCGGGATGTTTGGGGTTGCTGCGAGGTCTGGACACCACCGTAAGAATAAGACACTCTGCCTGCACTGTGCACATAATGATCTCTAAAGAGGCGCCATAAGAAGGGCAGGGGTTTTTTGGGGCGGGCATTGCAGCTGAGCCAGAACCAACCCGATCCAAAGTGCTCAGACATGTGTCGCCATAAAACAAACAAAACACAACCCGCGCAGCTCGAGCAAGTTCCCCTTGCTCAGTCCCGACAGAGAGCCATGTACACTTCCTGATTGCTTTTTCTTTCCCACGTGCAGGAAGTCCCAGGAAAACCGCCGCATCTTCTCAGACGACAAGCTTAAAGAGGGCCAGAACGTCATCGGGCTGCAGATGGGCACAAACCGGGGGGCGTCTCAGGCAGGCATGACAGGATATGGGATGCCACGCCAGATCCTTTGAACCCGGCCTGCGACCCCTTCCCATCCCTCCCTGTCCCCCAACACCTTATCTAAGAGAAACTCTCCAAATTGTACTGCCACCAGAAGCCTTAAGGGGGGGGGGAGGAGGGCAAAGCTACCCATTCCTTCCCCTCTGCCCACAATTTTTTTGGGGACATTCTCTTTTTTTCCTGCCTTTTTTTTAAGCCAGGGTTTTTCTAGCACCAAACCTCTCCATCTTGGAATACAGAACTGGAGCCAACTCCCTCACTTCCCGCCACAGCTTGTCCCTCAGAATGATCTCTGAATGGTGGGTTTTCTTCCACCCAGCCCCACTGAACAAACACACCTAACAAGGTTGGGACCAAGAAATCGGGGTGCTCTTTACTGCTCCCCACCTTCCACAGCCTCACAATGATCCTTCTGATGGCTGGACACCAGCCTTCCAGCCCCCACCTTGAGACAGGACCCCGGGGGGGCATTCACACACCCGCGGTTCACATTCCAGCATCTGTCATCCTAGGCCACCCATTCCATCCTGTTAAACAGCAGCTTCTCTGGACCAACCGCCCCCCACTTTTTGGGGGGACCCCATCTTGATGATTTTCCAAATCTGCTTGCTGAGAAAACTACACTTGGCTGTTGCTCGGAGCCCTTGAGCTCCGTAACTTTTTAATGTTTAGTGAACCTCTTCCTGTGATGTTTGGCTGGCACACGGAGGCACACAAAGCCCATCTGACCAGGGTAGGCTGCTTCCTTCAACCTGGTGCCTTCAGAAGCTTTGAACTCACACTCCCATCCGCCCCGGCTAAGGAGGCCAGTGATCGGGTACGCTGGGTGTTCTAGGCCCAAGCGATGAAGGGCACCCAGTTGGGAAAGGGTTAGGGTCACGGGATCTCTCTGGAGAGGAAATGGTGGCATTCCTGGTGTCCGGTTCCTCCTCTTCTCTTCCACTTCACCTGGACAGCTAGCCAGGGGTTGCTTTTTTATTTTTTGGCAAGGTGGTGCACTATTAGTGAAAGGGGTGGGAGGCAGTACCCAGTTCTCCCAGCTCCAGAGTTGCTTTCCCATTTTGTGCTTGGCTCGGCTCAGCTCCTGAGTGTTGGTCACCTGGGGCAGTATTTTGGTTCTCCTCCCTGCCCAGGTGTGCTTTGCTGCCCGGGCAGCCCAGAGCCATCTCTGCGAAGCGTCACCGCCTCTTTTCCAGCAAAGACACAGCCTGTTGGGCTGAACTCTTAACCGATGTGGCATTCTTACCTGTGGAATGTTCTTTTGCCTGGAGGTTACTGATAAGAAATAAACATTGCTCAATTCTTTTGTTTATAACCCTGTGTACTTTTTGGGATCTGCGCATGAAGAGCTCTCGACTTCGCAGGCATGGGGTTTGGAAGGGCTCTGAGGGAGGCAGCCGGGTAGGATATGGCAGGCTGGCCGATTCAAACTGGAGCAGGTGACCTGGCTGTCAGAAACTCGGCCTGACTTGGGGGACTGGAGCAGGGTTGTGCAGCCTTGTTCAGCCAAGGGCCAGATTCTGAGAGGCTCCCAGGGATAGCATTCCAGCGGTGGGTGGGGCCAAAGGCAAAAGAGGCGGGGCCAAAGGGCCGGCCAGTTTTAGCTTCAAGCTCTTCCAGGAGCAAAGCTTTATGAGAGGAATTTGAACCCCTTTTTTTGGGGGGGGGGAGCGCATGATCGCCTAGAAAGCATCCAGCAATTTGCGGCTTGGGAAGGGGAGTGTGGCCATCTCCCTATGCCCAAAAGCTGGACTCGGACCCTGGATCACAGACTCTGTAGTTACTGTGCTGTTACACTTGCCCCCCCACCCCAGACTCCAGTTTAACAAATGGGCACAGAGTTTGAGTTTGAGGATAAGCACCTTCTGAGCATCGCTGTTGGGGGAGACCTGTGGGCTGTGTGAACAGCTTCAGCGTCTCTTGGAGGGGGCCGGGGCCAGTGGGGAGGGCATCCGGTGCAAGTGCTGGGAGGCGGGAGGCAGATCGGGAGCACCCTGCTTGATCTCCGGGAGAGTTGCAGCTGACCCGCGAGGCTCCCCTGACGGCTGCCTAACCACAGTGCGAGGAGGACGCCTCCCAGCCCCTAAATCCCTCGGCAGAAACAAAGACCCCTCGGGACGACAGCGGAGGGTGGCTTTTCTCCTTGGATGGACTTGGAGGCCACTCACTTCTGCTGCTCCAAAGAAAGCGTTGGCTCCGAGTCCTTTTAGCTCTCGGTGGATCTCCTTGCATTTGGGTTCTGCGGGGGGGGGGGGGGAGGCAAGGGGTCCAGTTTCACGGAAACAAAGGAGACCCGACAGCCAAGCAGGCTGCCGGGCACGAGTCAAGCCAGTATCTCTGTCGAAAGGCCACTGCCTGCTACACAGATGCACAGACAAGGCAGAGGGCCCTGAATTTCAGGAAAAAGACCCCTCTGGGGGAGAGAGTCAAGGGGTGAAGGGGGCGGTTGGAGGTGCGGCATGTGGGGGCCAGAAAGCAGTTGCTCCCCGGGGACCAGGCAGACGAGGGAGGCGGCAGGGCAATTCACGAGCTGCAGGGCACGTTTCCAGCTTCTTGGCTGTCCCAAGGTGTAACGTCCTCTTCAACCAGGAACCAGAGGCTAATTGGGGCTAGCGTATCTCCAGCTCTGGTTCCTTGGGAACAAGGCCTTTTTGTTGTGGTGCGGATTGGGCTGTTTGCCAAAGGCCTCTCCCAGCCTTTGGTGAGCAACAGTCCCTGCTTTTGTTGGTGGCTTTGCTTTGTTTTTTCCAAGCTTTCCGCCTGTGGGGAAGCCTCTCCATCCAGAACCGTGCTGCCTTGCAAAGGACCCTGGGTATAACAGGTGGCACAATGGCTGGTCAAGTCCTAGAATTTTACCTGCAGAAGGGCTCTTGAAAGGACCGGCTGCAGCAGGCAAGTCTCCATTTAGGAGCCTTCCCCGATAGTTACAAGTCACCAAAGAATCAGACATGCATTATGGGGCCGCCACATTTGCAGTCCAAACCAGCCGGCCCTCCCGCGGTATCCCACCCCGTTTTTCCTTTTGTCCACTTCCTTTGCTCCTGTCTGGTCCTCATGGACTGTTCTTAGTTCCTTCAATTTCAAGCTTTAGCTTCTTAGTGTTGATGTTTACTGATTGCCCGGCCTTTCTACCAGGAAATGCTACTCACGGCAACGAATGACGACGGCGGCGGCATTTAAAATGCAAACACAATTAAAACCACCTTGCGACAAGCATGCAGAAAGCACATTTTGGAAGAACAGTTAAACAGAGCAGCACCCAACCCCAGGGGCCCCCGGCTTTGTGCTTTGCCCCCACAAAGCACTTCTCCCCTCTTCAATCATCACAGTGTTTTTGCACCCCACATTTGCCGATGGCTTCCCTTTTTGTGGGTGCTGCTCCCTTTGTGGCAACGGAAGAAAAAGAAGAGGCTCACCTACCCGTTTGCCATGGGCCGCCTTAGCGCAGGTGTCTGGCCTTCTCCAAAGCGCTGATCAGGGGTAGCAAGGAGGGCGTGTGCCTCTCTGTCTTGCTCTCTGGAGTCGCTTGGCCGGCCTGGAAACCAGGAGACCAGTCCAGCGCTGATCCAACTGAACAACCCTTTTGGGCCAGGTAACTATTGGTTAGCTCTGTCGGCCACCATGTTCCCTGCCCAGGAGTGCGGTGCTTCTTTCAGGCTGAAGGCTGACTTCCATTTCCGGGGATGAGCAGAACGGAAGGCAAAAGGACCAGGCCAGGGTCACCTGAAGAGTCCAGGAGGCCCGAATGTGGCCCCCAGGCGCCCCTCATCCTGAAGCTCCCTGCTCCTGCGTTACCATGATCAGAGAAGCAAGCATCTGTGTTTGCCTCTCTGGAAGACCAGCTGCCGCGGCCAATCAGGGAAGGGCTGTACCATCTCCACGCTGAGCTTGTCTCCGCTGTGAACAAACAGACAGTACGGGTGAGCTTGATTAGATAGCTACAGACAGTAAGATGGATTTCACGAAGAGCCTCTTATTCAGCCTACATCTATCCTGCCTGCCTTACCTTTCATCCAAGGTCCTCGACACAGTTCCTCCATTACTCCACCTAGCACCAACCCCGAGAGGTAACTCAGCAGCGGGCTGGCACCAGCACCATGTCCCAAAGTGGGAGATTCTCTGTGCCGCGCAGCAGACATGGGCAGGAAGTCGGTCTCTGGATTTATGCAGGTTTTGGGACTCCGGCTCCTGGCATCCCTGAACATTTTGGCCATGCAGGCGAGGGCTTATGGGAGTTGAAGTCCCAGGCCCCTGCGGCTGCCAGTCGTACAAGGCGTTGGCAGAAGTAACAATGAGCCATCAGAATGATTTACGCGTGGCCGGGGCTTGTGCATGACTTCCACATTTTGTGTGTGGCTGGTGGGGGCTCTGTGTCCCCAGAGGGTGTGTTCGTATTTGCTCTCAGCATGGCGAGTGTGTGAGCTGAGCCAGAGCCTCTGGGCTGGCACCCGGATCCAGGCCTCCCTCCTCTGTTTAAACACGGGGCATACGCCTTCGTCCCCTGCAGCAGCCTTTGGTTTGTTCTTAAAATTCTGTGTATCCCACCCAGGTTGGCACCCAACCCTCAACCAAGGTTTATTCATGAACTGATTGATTTTGTTCCTGTACTGGCCAACAGCCAAAGCATTCTGGGCAGCGAACAATGCATCAACACAATAAAAGACTTTATAAAAACACAACTCATAACATTGCGGTAAAATTGCAAGAGTTGTATCTTGCCTTTTTTCCCTCCTGCAAGGCACCCAAGCCAGCTTACATAGCGCTCCTCCACCGCTTCTAACCTTAACAACAATCCTCTGAGGTAGGTCAGTCTGAGGAGTGACTAGCCCAGAGTCACCCAGAGAGCTTCTTGGCTAAGTGGGAACTCAAACTCAGATTTTCTGAGACCCATGACAGGACTCAAACCACTAGGCCACCGTACCTCTACAATAAGCTACAGTCCATCCCAATGTTAATTCAACGGGAGAAGCTGCCTCAGCATTCCTGGAGTGCCACTGTGCATGGACAGAGTATGTTTCCTCTCCTCATCCCAACTGTTGTGTTAAGGAGGCAAGGTTTTCCGGCTGGAAGTTGCTGGTTGAACTCTGGAGATGGCTTGGGTTCGTGCAATTTAATTAACCACTGAAACGACGCTCCGGTCGAGTGGAGAGAGGATCCAGCCACAAGCCCCTGGCCTGATGCCCAGGTGGCCATGGCGCAGAAGAGCTTGGCAGGAGAGGCGATGCAAGCTCTGAGCGAGTGGAAAATCACAAGGGGGGGTGTGGGGGGTGGCCTTTGGAGCAGGGGACTGCCTGGTGGAGAAAATGGGGGAGAAGAGAGTGGAGGGCTCGGGCACGGCAGCAAACTTGTCCTGGGGAGAAGTGCAAGATGGGGTGGGAGAGGAGGAAACACACAAAGCATCAGGAAACGCCTTTTGAAAGATGCCTTTCTACCCTCTTTCCTCCTCCCATTGCTAACAAGGTTGGGCTCGGTCTGGCTTGCTTAGGAGAATCCCTCAGGGGGCTGGGTGGCCTGGTTTACAGCAGGCAGTCCCCTAACCAAGGGAGCCAGGGGATTGTGGCTGGGCACCTGCCAAGGGCCTGCGCTGTGGCCGGGGCCCGGGGCAAGGTTTCCCTGGCACTGTGGCTCAGCTTCCCCACTGTGCCCTGCCTGTGCGTCCGCCGCTCGCCCTGGCACAGGCAATGCAGGTGGTGAGAGGAGGTCACAGCCGGCCCGGTCACTGGCTGGGATGCCTGCCTGCCTGCCTGAGTCCCTGGGCATCTTCTGCCAGCCCGGATGGGCTGAGATGAATGGACCAGCGGTTTGGCCCTGTTTCCTCTGCAAGGCGTCTTCCGTTGGTGCCTTGCCTAAGGTACCCAGCCTGGCACCACGGGTAAGCGTGGCTGGGCAGCTGCTGAGGGCCCAGCGGGGGCCCACAGACAAAAGCCCCCGAGGTTGTTTTGTCTCTTCACCACTGCAGCTGGTCGGTCCACCTGCCTCGTGCTCGGGGCCAGGCAGAGGTGGTGGTGGAGGAAGGCGGGGTACAAGATGCTTCAGCCTCCTGGGTCTCGGCAAGAAAGGGACGGCCACAATGCGAAAGAGCAGGAGGCAGAGGAGTGGCCGGTGGCCACGGTGATGAGCAGGCTCAATGAGGGGTGGGCACGTGGGGACAGGCTTGCGCTTGACAAGCTGGAGCTGGCCCTGGGGGCCCGGCCTCCGTGGCAGGAGCCCCCTGCCCATTTCCCACTGACACAGAACCGTCAGAACGGCAAGCCAGCCCACTCAGCTGCACCCAGTCACCATCGCACCCCCAATGAGACGGTGCTGAAATCTATTTAAAGGAGTCATCATTTCTCAACGAGCATCTAGGCTTTCCTGTTTCCAGCTTATGCACAAGTCTTTTTCCCTTCTGCCCCCTGGGATGCACTTTCTCCTTTTCTGCGATTCAGAAATGCTCACCCTGCACGTCACCCGAATCTCTAAAGTGCTCCTCGGCCCCTTGCAGCAATACGAGTCCACATCTGCCGCCTCTTCGGACGCAGGGGAGTTCTGCAGGCAGGACGAGCTTGGATTTCCTTTGAAAGTAGAGAGGGCGGGAGTCTGGGGGCTTGGGGAGCCCCGAACCCCTGGGGGCATCTGTCCACCACTCTGCTTGCATAAAGGGGCCAAGAGGGTCACTGCTGCAGCAGATCCCCCTAGATAAGCTGACTTGCCTCGTCCCCACAAAACCCCGTATTTCTGTGCGGGTTTTTCTGGGACTGAGGGCCAGACCATAGCACCGCCCATGGCTTTGCGGCCGACCACCTGCCTTTAAACACCTGCTGGACTCGGTCACTGCTGCTGGAGCACGGGTGTCCCTCAGCCACGGAGGAAGACATGAGACTGAACTTCCAGCCACCCAAGCAGGTTATGCGACGCATTTGGCTTGACTTCCAAGCAGCTGCAAAACCTCTCTGGCAA